GATCCAGTCCATTTACAAAATTGGAGGCCCCTTACACTTCAGTGTTGTGATGCAAAAATCCTAGCAAAATGTATAGCACATAGAATTAAAAAGGTATTGTCGGATATTATTCATTCTAATCAGACAGGTTTTTTTTACATGGAAGATACATTGGAGATAATATAAGGCAAGTATTGGAAACAATAGAACACTATGGAAAATATGGGAAACCAGGCCTGCTATTCATAGCAGACTTCGAAAAGGCATTTGATAAAGTTCGACTGGGGTTTATATATAAATGCCTGGAGCATTTCAATTTTGGAGAATCTCTTATAAAATGGGTCAAAATCATGTATAGTAACCCTAGGTGTAAAATAGTAAATAATGGCTATTTCTCAGAAAGTTTTAAACTGTCAAGAGGAGTGAAACAAGGATGTCCACTATCGGCATATCTATTTATTGTGGCCATCGAGATGTTAGCTATTAAAATCAGATCCAATAATAATATCAGAGGATTAGAAATACAGGGCTTAAAAACAAAGGTGTCATTGTACGCTGATGATTCATGTTTTATTTTAAATCCACAACTAGAATCCCTCCACAGCCTCATAGAGGTTCTAGATACATTTTCTAACCTCTCTGGATTACAACCAAATTATGACAAATGTACTATATTACATATTGGATCACTAAAAAATAAAAAATTTACATTACCATGTAGTTTACCAATAAAATGGTCTGATGGTGATGTGGATATACTCGGAATACATATCCCAAAGGAAATAAATGATCTCACTTCAATACATTTTAATAGAAAGTTAGCAAAAATAGATAAGATCTTACTACCATGGAAAGGAAAATACCTGTCCATTTGTGGAAAAATCACCCTGATTAACTCTTTAGTATTATCCCAGTTTACCTATTTGCTTATGGTCTTGCCTACGCCTAGCGAACAGTTTTTTAAAATTATATGAGAAAAAAGTATTCAATTTTATTTGGAACGGCAAGCCAGACAAAATTAAAAGAGCATATTTATATAATGAATATGAATTCGGAGGACAGAAATTATTAAATATTAAAGCATTAGACCTATCACTAAAAGCTTCAGTCATACAAAAGTTATACTTAAATCCGAACTGGTTCTCAAGCAAATTAGTAAGATTGGCTCACCCAATGTTCAAGAAAGGCCTTTTTCCCTTTATTCAGATTACAACCTCTCACTTTCAGTTATTTGAAAAGGAAATAATCTCCCAAATGTCACTATTTCTAAAACAAGCCATAGAAAGTTGGTTGCAATTTCAATTTAATCCTCCAGAAACGACAGAACAAATAATGCAACAAATATTGTGGTTAAATTCAAATATACTAATTGACAAAAAACCTTTATTTTTTGACAGAATGTTTAAAAAAGGTATAATCTTCGTAAATGATATCATCGGTAGGACTGGTGGAGTTATGTCACACATGCAGCTAACAAAAACATATGGAAATGTCTGCTCTACCCAAAATTACAACCAAATAATTGCAGCCTTACCGCAAAAGTGGAAGAGGAAAGTGGAAGGGGGAGAAAGTAAGGAACTTGTCTGTCGGCCTTGCATTAAAGAACATAATTGGTTAAGGAAAACTGTGATAAATAAAAAAGTATATCAGTTTCACTTAAGGACCAAAGGATTGACAGCCGTCCCATATAGATTGCAAAATAGTTGGGAAGAGATCTTTGACGTACCGATACCATGGCATAGTGTTTATGAACTGACACGCAAAACGACACCGGATTCAAAAATTTGAATCTTTCAATTTAAATTATTATATACAATTCTTGCTACCAATAGAATGTTATTTATATGGGGGATACAATCTTCCCAGCTCTGCAGGTTTTGCTGTGAAGAGACAGAATCATTAGATCCTTTGTTTTGGTTCTGTCCATTTGTAGCTTGTTTTTGGACACAGGTCCAGGAATGGCTAAAGGATTGCAATATTTACCTGGAACTAACCTTGCAGATAGCATTACTGGGTGATCTGAAAAGTCATAGTCAATCAATCAATAATATAATAATACTTTTAGCAAAAATGTTTATTTTTAATTCACAATCTGTAGAAGCAATGAGAATAGAAAGGTTCAGAATTTTTGTAAAACATCACAGTACGGTAGAAATATATATGGCAAATAGAAATCCTATATGGATGGTGTTAAGAGATAGATGGGAGGTATTGAATAGAGTTGAAGGATGGGACTAATAACAAATAACAACAAATAATAACAAAGATAGCTAATAATGTAAGCATACTGTGTCCATAATAAGTATATAGGTTGTATGTTGGGAGCTTTTGGGAAGGAGCACAGTTAGAAAGATATGGCATATAGAAGCAAACCGGATGGACACCATGAAAATGATCGGAGAGGTTGAGAGTAGAAGAAGTTCAGGAGCAAAAAAAAAATATATATATATATAATAGAATTATTGTAAAATGAACTCTGTCCATAAGGTGTAGATAGTAAGTATAGACCAGAAGTAGAGGCCTGGGCATTGCTGTTAACTAATTTACTCCAAGTAGGGAAAGGATGGTGGGGTTGAAAAGTAATAAAGGGGAGTATATATATAAAAAATAAATAAAACATGGGGGATTGGAAGTGATGCAGACAATTACATTGATAGAAGATACAATCTATCTGCAATATTAAGCTGATCCATTCCCCCCCCCCCAAAAAAAAAAATATATAATAATAATAATAATAATAAAATAAAAAAAAGTGTGCCTATTGACATTCGGCAATTGTAATTGATTAGGCCAACATTATGATGCGTATTGCTGACACCTTTTTTGTAGCATGAAAAGTCGAAACACCTAAAATGGGGTTGAAACTGTCCTTGGAAAAACAGAATGGGGGGGGGGGGTTGGTTTAATTTTGTATGCCATCGGTTTTATTTGTAATATACACATTCCTTTCATGACATACATGCCCTCCTTTATACAACGGGTGGGTCTAATCCTGAATGCTGACTGGTTAAAAGCGCATTCCAGCCGGTGTCTATTCCACAAGCTACCACCGGCTAGATCTGATGTTAAAATGACTATTTACTCTGTTCCATCTGACTGCGCAATCCACTGTCTCATCAGCCCAGTCAGGCAATTTATAAACTTGATCTCCACTATAAAAATAATCTAGATATTATCTCACATTTCTTTTAGACTAACATTTAGTTTTCAACACCCTGCTGTCGTTCTATCGGTTCAGTTGCCAGAGACGCGACCCAGTCGTTCAGTCTTTTTGTTCTGTATCTATGGCTGCGACAACAGTGGAAGTTTGGAAGCAGGGATTGATCCCTGTTCTCAGGTGGAAAGTTGTACGCGACATGTGCCAGGGAGTGTTACCACTACACCAAGGCTCTGCACAGGAAATATTTATGGTTGATGGCAGTGGGTAACCAAATCATAGATTGCAGTCTCCTTGTCCATAGATTGCTTTCAAGGTAAGGACACAAACATTTTGTAATTTGGGTTAACGATCTCTTTAAAATAGGGCTGGAAGAAAATTATGCTTGCTCTCCAGGAGGGTTGGCCACCCCTGATCTATATTTCCCAAGTGCTGGGTGTTTGAGAAATTAATTGTTATAACAAGAACATTTTGAATCACCAAACCTTCAAGAAAAATCTAATGAATATCAATATTCAGGTGGTTTGTACCAGTGGTGTAAAGTACTTAATAATACTTGAAAGTACTATTTAAGTAGTTTTATGGGGTATCTGTACTTTACTTTACTATTTATATTTTTGACAACTTTTACTTCACTACATTCCTAAACAAAATAATGTACTTTTTACTCCATACATTTTCCCTGACACCCAAAAGTACTTGTTACATTTTGAATGCTTAGCAGGACAGGAAAATGGTTGAATTCACGCACTTATCAAGAGAACATCCCTGGTCATCTCTATTGCCTCTGATCTGGAGGATCTGTCCGCTGCCTTTTCGTTGTCACAGCCTAAATGCCAATCACCAAACGAGGGGGACTAATGCAAATCTCCAGTCAGCTCCACTCTAATCTTGAGGGGCATTTCTTTAAAACATACTTCCAATTCCCTTGACCCCTTAAATAACTAGACCAATCATAATGCTTCACAGTGGTGTGGCAAGAAAGGACATTGATACAGGTTCCGCTCGTGAACACTGGGAAACACAGGAAAGAGAGTCTTGTGTAAATCTCATACTAATGTTGATTATGATTAAGGAGAAACTTGAGTTACTTACATGTATCTCAAGTTAGGATTCAGCCCTCAGTTTTGTATCAGTGGACCATGTTCAGCCATTTACACAGATGTATTTTTGTATTTTATCGACTTTTATACCGTGTGTGCCTTGAGTGATTTTTTTTTTGTACAGGTGAAGAGATTAAATGTTTATATTTAGTCACATATACAATATATATTTTTTGTCACGTGATATGTGGATGTCTCACATCTTTAAGATTAATGCACTAATTTTAAGTCGCTCTGGATAAGAGTGTCTGCTAACTGTCTGTTTCACAAGGTTTATGCTACAGTAACATTGAGTCTGAATGATGAAGACATGCATACACAGTTCGATAATATTACGCGGGCCGCCCAGTAATACTGGGACAGTATTTTCTGGACTGACGTTATATGTGGACATGATAATTTGAGATTAATGATGAGTTGTCTCTTGATTAACATAAATCATTTCTGCATTGGGAGTGACTCAATCTGATTACGCCCCCATTTGAGAAATGGAAAATAAATAATTTACACTATGAAAATTGGATACAAAATATTATAAAAAGTACGCAAAACAGTTCAGTTAGATTTAAAGATGTAGACTCATAAAATAAGAAAGGCACACAATCAAGGCAAAAATACATGTAATTTTCAATATCTACCTGAAAGGCAATGTGCTTATGGTCAAAATAGAGCAGAAACTCCCTCTAGTCTCCGTCCATCTTCAGGGGTTCATATCAGCAGTCTGTCTGGTACATTTGCCAATGTGTGTCCCTGCCTGGTTCTCAGCTCAAATGTACTGTACTGCGAGGAGGGGCAGACCCTGACGGTCTGGCGACCATCCTCTCCTCCAGATCCATCCCTGTCCCTGCCTCCGCCCCTCTCCCACTGGAGTGGAACCTGGAGGTCTTGGCCCGGCTGAGTTTCTGGAGCCTGCGTTGACTGTCTAGCTGTGGGGGCGGATGATCTATCTTGGTGTGGGTGGTCGAGGACATCTGGGGTAAAACGCCCATTTCCTGTTTATCCTCCTCTTGCAATGTCTGTTGGGCCAACCTGAGAAGAATAGTACCATTCAGAGATTCCAAAATGAGCTCTGAATGCAAGTTCAGCATTCCACTGAGAGCATGCAAGTTCAGCATTTCACTGTACTTGTGCATGTGACACTTGAACTTGAATGTAGTTTTTAGACGTACTAGCTGGTAAGATAAAGAACAATGTAAAACTGGTATAACCCAAGGGGTGGCATACCCTCTCAGTACCTGTGGTTGTTGTTCACACTTCCTGCTGCTGCATCTCCTCCACACACACGCCTGCCTTCCCCCCTCAGCGGCTCTCTCTTTGAGGGGCCCTGCCTCTGTACTCCAGCCCCTGCCTGGTCCCCCCATAGACGGCCATGGCTACAGAGGAAAGAGGGAGGGAAGAGGGGTTATAACTGGAGCAGGACCTCAGAGAGAGAGAGAGAGTTATTGTCACATGTAGAATGAAAGAAACATAAATAAACATCTGTTGTATATGCACTGTATTATATTGTGTATACCAATATACAGTATACTATGTACAGCACTATAACTAGACGCACTAGAAAGTCAAAATGCCTGTCGTGGAGAGGACAGTAACCTTTTCCCTCTGAAGTCTATGTGCCTCAGGTCTGGCAGGAAGGAGTTACCGTCTGTCCCAGGCTTACTCAGTGGCTTCTCAAAGGCTGCTTGAGGTCTCCTCTGGTCCTGCTCACCCACAGGCACAGCATTTGATACTGATACACCTGCTGTGCAGTCTCTTTCTCGGCTCCTCCGTAGGGGCTCCAGGGCGTCTGTGTTAGAGGTTGGAGCCTCTGGCATGTAGTAGCCTATGGAGACCCGGGCTGCGTGGCCTTGTTTCTCTGGGCGTGGCCACTGGTGGTGGGACTTGGCTGGGTAGAAGTTGGAGGAGCGGCAGGGCTCCAGGCTTGGGGGAGACCTGACACATTTCCCACACAAAACACATTTGTGTGACGGACTATCAATCTAACATTGACATCTTTATGCAGAGGATGTACGGTCCCAGTCCTGTATGTTTTGTCATAAATGCAGTCAACTTTCAATAAAGAGCATATTTTACCGCTATGTTTTGCTGTAGTTACCTATGGCTATGGGTTGCTGAGGTGTATAAAGCAGGCATCCTCTCTGAAAGACAAGAGTGATAAGTGCATTAATAATGATCGAACATCTCTGCAATAGCAATATTTGGAATGTTTGATCTGTTAAAGTGTGGGGTGGAAAAGAATGCCACTGACTTCACTCCTGATTGCAGTTCTTTGTCCTACTACTTTAATTCTAGTTCATACTACTTTTCTGTTAGTGAACACCTAACTTCATATTGGGTGTGTGTTCTCTAAAATCAAATTGTATTTGTCACGTCACAGGTGTAGACAGGTGTAGACCTTACCGTGAAATGCTTACTTACAAGCCCTTAACCAACAATGCAGTTCAAGAAATAAGAGTTAAGAAAATATTTACTAAATAAACTAAAGTAAAACAAATAAAATCAAAAACTAACACGAAAATAACGAGGCCATATACAGGGGGTACCGGTAACGAGTCAATGTGCGGGGGTACAGGTTGGTCGAGGTAATTTGTAAAGGGACTATGCATAGATAGGGGGGGGGGGGGGGGGCGAGCAGTTGCCATATCAGGCGGTGATGCAACCGGTCAGGATGATCTCAATGGTGCAGCTGTATAACTATTTGAGGATCTGGGGACCCATGCCAAATCTTTTCAGTCTCCTGAGGGGAAAAAGGTGTTGTCGTGCCCTCTTCACAACTGTCTTGGTGTGTTTGGACCATGATAGTTTGTTGGTGATGTGGACACGAAGGAACTTGAAACTCTCGACCCCACTCCACTACAGCCCCGTCGATGTTAATGGGGGCCTGTTCGGCTCTCCTTTTCCTATAGTCCATGATCAACTCCTTTGTCTTGCTCACGTTGAGGGAGAGGTTGTTGTCCTGGCACCACACTGCCAGGTCTCTGACCTCCTCCCTATAGGCTGTCTCATCGTTGTCGGTGATCAGGCCTACCACAGTTGTGTCGTCAACAAACTTAATGATGGTGTTGGAGTCGTGCTTGGCCATGCAGTCATGGGTGAACAGGGAGTACAGGAGGGGACTAAGGGTCTTTAGCTTAGTGATGAGCTTTGTGGGCACTATGGTGTTGAACGCTGAGCTGTAGTCAATGAACAGCATTCTCACATACAGTACCAGTCAAAAGTTTGGACACACCTACTCATTCAAGGGATTTTCTTAATTTTACATTGTAGAATAATAGTGAAGACATCAAAACTATGAAATAACAAAAATGGAATCATGTAGTAACCAAAAAAGTGTTAAACAAATATATTTGAGATTCTTCAAATAGCCACCCTTTGCCTTGATGACAGGGTTGCACACTCTTGGAATTCTCTCAACCAGCTTCACCCGGAATGCTTTTCCAACAGTCTTGAAGGAGTTCCCACATACACTACCGTTCAAAAGTTTGGGGTCACTTAGAAATGTCCTTGTTTTTGAAAGAAAAGCAATTTTGTTGTCCATTAAAATAACATCAAATTGATCAGAAATACAGTGTAGATATTGTTAATATTGTAAATGGCTATTGTAGCTGAAAACGGCTGATTTCTAATGGAATATCTACATAGGCGTACAGAGGCCCATTATCAGCAACCATCAGTCCTGTGTTCCAATGGCACATTGTGTTTGCTAATCCAAGTTTATCATTTTAAAAGGCTAATTGATCATTAGAAAACCCTTTTGCAATTATGTTAGCACAGCTGAAAACTGTTGTGCTGATTAAAGAAGCAATAAAACTGGCCTTTTTTAGACTAGTTGATTATATGGAGCATCAGCAATTGTGGGTTCGATTACAGGCTCAAAATGGCATGGAATAGCCTTCATTTATCAGACCATGAATAGACTGACGAGTTTCAGAAGAAAGTTATTTGTTTCTGGCCATTTTGAGCCTGTAATCGAACCCACAATTGCTGATGCTCCAGATACTCAACTAGTCTCAAGAAGGCCAGTTTTATTGCTTCTTTAATCAGCACAACAGTTTTCAGCTGTGCTAACATAATTGCAAAAGGGTTTTCTAATGATCAATTTGCCTTTTAAAATGATAAACTTGGATTAGCAAAAACAACGTGCCATTGGAACACAGGACTGATGGTTGCTGATAATGGGCCTCTGTACGCCTATGTTACCTGTATAAAAGACACCTGTCCACAGAAGCAATCAATCAATCAGATTCCAAACTCTCCACCATGGCCAAGACCAAAGAGCTCTCCAAGGATGTCAGAGACAAGATTGTAGACCTACACAAGGCTGGAATGGGCTACAAGACCATCGCCAAGCAGCTTGGTGAGAAGGTGACAACAGTTGGTGCGATTATTCGCAAATGGAAGAAACACAAAAGAACTGTCAATCTCCCTCGGCCTGGGGCTCCATGCAAGATCTCACCTCGTGGAGTTGCAATGATCATGAGAACGGTGAGGAATCAGCCCAGAACTACACGGGAGGATCTTGTCAATGATCTCAAGGCAGCTGGGACCATAGTCACTAAGAAAACAATTGGTAACACACTACGCCATGAAGGACTGAAATCCTGCAGCGCCCGCAAGGTCCCCCTGCTCAAGAAAGCACATATACAGGGCCATCTGAAGTTTACCAAAGAACATCTGAATGATTCAGAGGAGAACTGGGTGAAAGTGTTGTGGTCAGATGAGACCAAAATCGAGCTCTTTGGCATCAACTCAACTTGCCGTGTTTGGAGGAGGAGGAAGGCTACCTATGACCCCAAGAACACCATCCCCACCGTCAAACATGGAGGTGGAAACATTATGCTTTGGGGGTGTTTTTCTGCTAAGGGGACAGGACAACTTCACCGCATCAAAGGGACGATGGACGGGGCCATATACCGTCAAATCTTGGGTGAGAACCTCCTTCCCTCAGCCAGGGCATTGAAAATGGGTCATGGATGGGTATTCCAGCATGACAATGACCCAAAACACACGGCCAAGGCAACAAAGGAGTGGCTCAAGAAGAAGCACATTAAGGTCCTGAAGTAGCCTAGCCAGTCTCCAGACCTTAATCCCATAGAAAATCTGTGGAGGGAGCTGAAGGTTCGAGTTGCCAAACGTCAGCCTCGAAATCTTAATGACTTGGAGAAGATCTGCAAAGAGGAGTGGAACAAAATCCCTCCTGAGATGTGTGCAAACCTGGTGGCCAACTACAAGAAACGTCTGACCTCTGTGATTGCCAACAAGGGTTTTGCCACCAAGTACTAAGTCATGTTTTGCAGAGGGGTCAAATACACTTTTCCCTCATTAAAATGCAAATCAATTTATAACATTTTTGACATACGTTTTTCTGGATTTTTTTGTTGTTATTCTGTCTCTCACTGTTCAAATAAACCTACCATTAAAATTATAGACTGATCATGTCTTTGTCATTGGGCAAACTTACAAAATCAGCAGGGGATCAAATACCTTTTTCCCTCACTGTAGGTTGGAGTCATTAGAACTAGTTTTTCAACCACTCCACATATTTCTTGTTAACAAATTATAGTTTTGGCAAGTCGGTTAGGACATCTACTTTGTGCATGACACAATAAATTTTTCCAACAATTGTTTACAGACAGATTATTTCACTTATAATTCACTGTATCACAATTCCAGTGGGTTAAAAGTTTACATACACTAAGTTGACTGTGCCTTTAAACAGCTTGGAAAATTCCAGAAAATGATGTCATGGCTTTTAGAAGCTTCTGATAGGCTAATTGACATCATTTGAGTCAATTGGAGGTGTACCTGTGGATGTATTTCAAGGCCTACCTTCAAACTCAGTGCCTCTTTGCTTGACATCATAGGAAAATCAAAAGAAATCAGCCAAGACCTCAGAAGAAAAATTGTAGACCTCCACAAGTCTGGTTCATCCTTGGGAGCAATTTCCAAACGCCTGAAGGAACCACGTTCATCTGTACAAACAATAGTATGCAAGTTTAAACACCATGGGACCACGCAGCCGTCATACCGCTCAGGAAGGAGACACGTTCTGTCTCCTAGAGAAGAACATACTTTGGTGCGAAAAGTGCAAATCTATCCCAGAACAACAGCAAAGGACCTTGTGAAGATGCTGGAGGAAACCGGTACAAAAGTATCTATATCCACAGTAAAACGAGTCCTATATCGACATAACCTGAAAGGCCGCTCAGCAAGGAAGAAGCCACTGCTCCAAAACCGCCATAAAAAAGCCAGACTACGGTTTGCAACTGCACATGAGGACAAAGATCATACTTTTTGGAGAAATGTCCTCTGGTCTGATGAAACAAAAATAGAACTGTTTGGCCATAATGACCATTGTTATGTTTGTAGGAAAAAGGGGTAGGCTTGCAAGTCGAAGAACACCATCCCAACCGTGAAGGACGGGGGTGGCAGCATCATGCTGTGGGGGTGCTTTGCTGCAGGAGGGACTGGTGCACTTCACAAAATAGATGGCATCATGAGGAAGGAAAATGATGTGGATATATTGAAGCAACATCTCAAGACATCAGTCAGGAAGTTAAAGCTTGGTTGCAAACGGGTCAAAACAAAATAGCACAGTTGGTTAGGAGTCTGTAAAACGGCAGCCATCCCCTCCGGCGTCATCATATTGTACCACCCATTGTACACACTCTATTTCTGCACTCCAACCCACCTCTCATCCCAGCGTGGCTTCTGTGATCGGGGCTGAAGGGCATGGGCTGCTGATGAATGGGGGTGGTGTGAACCCTGATCTTCGCAGTGGGCACAGGCAAGGAGAAGCTGCGTTGCTGTATGGCTGTAACAGATAAGGGGCGACGCTGAGGGCCTGGCCGCGGGGCCTGGGAGGAGCCAAACTGCAGCTGGGGACTCCAATACTGCCGCCGCTCCTCTGAGGAAGGGAAACATCATGGCCACATTCAGCGCAGGTTGACGTTTATTATAATGAATCTTGTCCTGGAGGCAGAACCGAGCGATTTCCGCTATATGGGCCAGTTGCAAAGTAAAAATGTATTAATTAATTTAATGTTAGTGTTAGGCATTAGGGTTAGCAGTGTGGTTAGGGTTAAGATCATATTTTATTACTTTGTGGCTGTGCCAGCTAGTGACCACTCTGCAGAGCTGTCTCCAGGGAAAGATTCATGACAATAAATGCACATTTAGCATGCAAACTGGGAAAGAAAAAAAAAGGTTTTTCTGGTGAAGTCACATGGTCAGAAAACTAAATCCATTCCTAATGAAAAGAGTCTATCCATGTACCTGTGACAGGTGGCTGAGTAGGGTGAGAATGCAGGTATGCAGCCCTCACAGCCTCCAGGTATTCATTCTGGAACACAGTTAATGCTGAGCATCAGACTGGGACAAAACAGTAGTCATTGCTCGTTCATGCCTTTTGTCAAGTTTGATGGGGTGGGGATGCTCAGAGTGCATCGACCTACTGAGAAGAGGTTTGGGGGGGTCTAGGCCCAGGTTGTTGTGAAATACCTTGAGAAAATTGTACCTGTAATAGTACTTTAATGACAATGCAAAACTATCAACATGCAGTAGGGCTTGAAGGGTGAATGGCAGCCATTACCTTCTCTGACTCCTCCTCCTGCCAGAGGGTCACATGGCCTATGACCCCGATGCGAGTGGTGGGATGGGGGATCCAGGAGCGTCCTGTCTGACGGCTCACTGTCACCACAAATGGCACCTACCGGTACATCAGGAGTAGAAGCTCATGTCTTCAGAAATGAGATACTGGGGTAATGCACAAGCTACAATCTGTCTAAGCAAATGAGGAAGAGCGTGAGCTTCTCTTTCTCTTATCCATACCTTCTCTCTCTTCTTCTTTTCTCTGACCACGGCCACCGTTTTTTCCTGGATCCTCACCTTCATTATGTCCTCAGTGGGTAGCACAGGGTCCTGCAGAGAACAGACAGGAGTAAGAATGTAATTTGGCGAGTTTGTTTTGTTCCTAAAGTTAAATATCCACCCTTCCGGGGCAACAGACAATGCAAAACAAACTCGCCCAATCACTCTTTATCAATTATGGGGAACTCTCGCTGGCTAGATCATCTGTATGTCTCTCCCAGCCTTTTATGTATTAGGGACCACTGTATGTTTCATTGTATCTGGTGGATGAGCTGCACTAAGGTGTTGTGTGTGTTCTGTGTCTCACTATGTTCTTGATGTTCCTGTGGAGGACCTTTGGGTTGACGTTCCTCACTCTCTCCTGTCTCAGTCTGTTCCTCTCCTTACCACTCCTCAGGTGCTTCTTCTTCGCTTGGCTCTGCTAGAAAATAAGTTGGCATTAGACTAAGTTAAAGCTATTGTACGCAAACATAACTGAGGTCATATGAAGTTTAAGGTTCATATTGCACCTCATCAGTTCGGTTCAGTAGATGGACAGGCAGGCCATCAGACTCTGTGCTGTTTGAGCCACTGGTACTATGGAGGAGACACAAAAAGGACATTTAGGTGTGCGTGTGTGTGTGTGTGTGTGATGCTCTAAAACCTCCCTTACCTGGACTCGATGTCAGAAACGGAGACGCTGAGAGATCCATCAGAGTCGACCTCCCGGCCCAGTCTCTCTCTGACCTCCTGCCTTAACATCGCCCGCAACTCAGCTAGGCAGTGACTGGTCTAACACACACACACACACATATTAGGGCTCATCAACATGACAAGCTGAGACGCAACCTTGGTCACTGTGGTAGTGAGAGGTTGACTCCACTCACCTTGGTTGGGTCAGGATCACAGTAGTCCAGCAGTGTGTCACATAAGTAGTACCCCAGAGACTTCAGGTCAGTCGTGGTGAAATGGGTCCCCTTCCTGTTCCCTATAACACAGAAAGGCTCTGTGAAATGAAGCTCTATAGCATGCACAGACATACACAGACACGCTACACCCTGTGCATGCTCACCCAGAGTGGAGCCTCCGAAGGTGGACTCCATGGTGTAGCTGTTCCTGATGCCTAGCCTCCACATGACGATGCGTCCTGTTCCCTCTTTACTCTTCTGAACCCTGAACTTACAGCTCCTGAACGAGAACTTTAGGAAGAGGGCACAAAAAACGTGCTTTACTCCCTGGCTGTGATTTATAACAGTCATAAATGTATGATTGTACTGTGGTTTTATACCTTCTTGGCCAGGTCTCCAGTAAAAAAATAAAAAAAATAAACGTTATTTCAATTGGATTCTAACCTTGTCATTGGCGTTCTTGCTCATCATGAGAGGGAAGACTCTCTCATGGAGCCGTTGTGTGGCGTCATCGCTGTTGGTACAGCCGTACATGAAGACGTTGTTCTTACGACTGTGACCGTGGAAATCACAATACAGCACCACATCCCTCTCAGCCATCAGTCTTGGGTGCCATGACAACAACAAGGACAGAGGGAAAACCATGGCAATAAGGTCAGAAAAGGCAGAGTGAACTTACAAACCTCTCCATAGGTTAGAAAGGTATGACTGTGTCAGATCTGTTTGAGTATCCTCCCCCTTCCCGCCTCTCACCTCTTGACCATGTTCCTGGTGTGCCAGACACAGGGGAAGGAGTCCCTCAGCAGGGTCTTGTAGTTCCTGTTCAGGTCCCTGCCTGACAGAGAGCAGCGGTAGTTCCCCACAACCACACCGTCTGGGTTCAGCATGGGCACCACCTGCAAGTCCGCAAGGGAGAAACACAACAATCAACATCATGGGTGTCTTTATGGGGTGTTTCTAATTCTGAAGGGAAAACTTAATTTATCCCACATGGCAGTCAAATACATAACTGAAATACATGGATATTTACAAAGATAAAAAGGCGTCAGTGACCTTAAACACAAAGGTCTCCCTCAGAAGCCTGGCGTCGTCTGACTCTCCCAGCAGGAAGTCAAGGAAGCCCTGCATTATCCAGGAGCTGTTCGTCTCCCCGGGGTGCACCCTGGCTGTCACCACCACCGCCCGCTTGGCACTCCTATCCATCCACCCCCCTCCCGGTGACGTCACTGTCAGCACGTGAACAGCGTTGCCAGCCAGGCTGCGGCACAGCACCCGCAGCTTGCAGTAGGCGCCGGTGGCCGAGTTGGAGGTGAGGCGGCTGAGGTAGCGCTGCAGGTGGGTGTAGGTGTAGGGGTAGCAGTGTGACAAATAGCAGGTGTCTGAGTTGTAGGGGAACTGGCAGGTCCAGGTAAGGGAGTGGAGGGACTTTGTGTTGGTGGTGGTGGTGTTGTCCTGCTCAGCCTGGTGGTGCTGGTTGTGGTAGTATCTGATGTTGGAGCCAGTTCGGCGCCAGCCCTCTCCCTTCTCCCAGGCGGCTCTTTCAGAGTAGAGCAGAGGCCTCATGCCCAGGCAGTACAGACTGCTAGCCTTCATCAAGTTGACTATGGTGAAGCGATAGGTGACCCCTGCCTTCATGTTTCTGACCCGGAAGTAGAACCACTGCGTGTGCTTGGTGGTGTACATGTCAGTGCGGAGGGTGAGCTCATAGTCATGGACACCGCTGTGTAAGGGGGAGGGGGATAGAAAGAGAGTGAGAAGGAAAGATTCTTGCCTACACACAGTTAACCTCCCTGCAACTTAGCAACAATTTGTAAAGTGTAAATAGTTATAGTTAAACAGTTATACAGGCTCCGTAGACTCACACTTGAACTGCCTTCTGCAGGTTGCCGCTCTCGAAGCGTGACTCAAAGGCCAGGGTGGACTGGTCCTGATGCGTGGCACAGGAGGTGGAGCTCTTGATGGGTCCCCTGCTTCCTCCTACGCGAGAGCAGGTGAAGTAGGAGGTCTTTGTGCCTAAACAGGGGACAGAATAAGAACAGGAGCTAGAAGGACAGGTGAGAGAGGTAACACTGTTAGAAAATGAAAGTCTACAAAGGGCAGCACTATATACCTTACTGACATAGAGTTAGGGTTACCTGGGTCAATGCAGTAAACCATGTTCCCCTTTTCCTCCCCGACAGGCATGGGGGCCCTCTCATGGCCCGTGGGCTGGTAGAACGGCTCTGGGTCTGGAGGTTCCCACTCTAGAACACAGCAATATCTTTCAGTAACAATAACATTCCAATTTGGATGAACACTATACTGTTGAAAATGTGGAGCCCATTGAGAAACAGAACTCATTGAGAAACAGAACTCTGAACTGTTCTATACACTGTAGAGGTCAAAACAACACTGAGTGTTTGTTACAGCATATACAGTTCAGTGGTATGTACCTATGTGGTGTATGGCTTCCTTGATGACCTCACACTCAATGGGCCAGCGGACCCCCTGCAAGGGGGTGGAGGGAGAGGGGATGGCAAACAGGTCCAGGGGCTCCCTAAGCCGGGGGATGGGACGCTCCCCATCAAAATCTATCACCAGCTGCCTGGTCCTGAGGGCCTGTCCCAGGTGCAAGGTGACTGGGGGATAGATATAAAACATCACTGCATCACAGGTTTACTACATCACAAAAAAGGTGATAAGTATAGTTTTGTCATGAAATTCTATGTACAGGAAAAACATATATGCAACAGTAGTGTAAGTCAACCCAGAAGTGTTGCAGTTATTGACACACTCAAACCAGTGCTCCTGGTACCTACTACCACCGTGTGTATATTTACAGTACCAGTCAAAGGTTTGGACACGCCTACTCATTCCAGGGTTTGTCTTTATTTTGACTATTTTCTACATTGTAGAATAATAGTGGAGACATCAAAACTATGAAACAACACATATGAAATCATGTAGTACCCCAAAAAGTGTTAAAAAAATCAAAATATATTTTATTTTTGAGATTCTTCAAATAGCCACCCTTTGCCTTGATGACAGCTTTGCACACTCTTCCCATTCTCTCAACCAGCTTCATGAGGTAATCACCTGGAATGCATTTCAATTGACAGGTGTGCCTTGTTAAAGGTTAATTTGTGGTATTTCTTTCCTTCTTAATGCGTTTGAGGCAATCAGTTGTGTTATGACAAAGTAGGGGTGGTGTACAGAAGATAGCCCTATTTGGACCAAGTCCATATTATGGTAAGAACAGCTCAAATAAGCAAAGAGAAACGACAGTCCATCATTACTTTAAGACATGAAGGTCAGTCAATCTGGACAATTTCAAGAACTTTGAAAGTTTCTTCAAGTGCAGTCGCAAAACCATCAAGCGCTTTGATGAATCTGGCTATCATGAGGACCGCCACAGGAAAGGAAGACCCAGAGTTACATCTGCTGCAGAGGATAAGTTCATTAGAGTTACCAGCCTCAGAAATTGCAGCCCATATAAATGCTTCACAGAGTTCAAGTAACAGACACATCTCAACATCAACTGTTCAGAGGAGACTGCATGAATCAGGTCTTCATGATCGAATTGCTGCAAAGAAACCGCTACTAAAGGACACCAATAATAAGAAGAGACTTGCTTGGGCCAAGAAACACGAGCAATGGACATTAGACCGGTGGAAATGTGTCCTTTGGTCTGGAGTCCAAATTTGAGATTTTTGGTTCCTTCGCGTGTCTTTGTGAGATGTGGTGTGGGTGAACGGATGATCTCTGCATGTGTATTTCCCACCTTAAAGCATGGAGGAGGTGTTATGGTGTGGGGGTGCTTTGCTGGTGACACTGTCTGTGATTTATTTAGAATTAAAGGCACACTTAACCAGCATGGCTACCACAGCATTCTACAGCAATACGCCATCCCATCTGGTTTGGGCTCAGTGGGACTATCATTTGTTTTCCAACAGGACAATGACCCAACACACCTCCAGGCTGTGTAAGGGCTATTTTACCAAGAAGGAGAGTGATGGAATGCTGCATCAGATGACCTGGCTCCACAATTCCCCGACCTCACAATTGAGAGGTTTGGGAGATTGGACCAGTGAAGGAAAGCAGCCAAAAGTGCTCAGCATAGTGGACTCAAATCAATCATTTATTTTATAGCCTTCTACATCAGCTATTCCGAAGTTGTACAGCCAGCTAAACCGCTAGAAAGAGGTGGAAGCACGGGGTAGGAAAACTCCTAAAAGGCGAAAGGCGAAAACCTAGGAAGAAACCTAGAGAGGAACCAGGCTATGAGGGGTGGCCAGTCCTCTTCTGGCTGTGCCGGGTGGAGATTATAACAGAACCATGCCAAGATGTTCAAAAATGTTCATAAGTGACAAGCATGGTCAAATAATAATCAGGAATAAATCTCAGTTGGCTTTTCATAGCCGATCATTAAGAGTTGAAAACAGCAGGTCTGGGACAGGTAGGGTAGGAACTCCTTCAAGACTATTGGAAAAGCATTCCAGGTGAAGCTGGTTGAGAGAATGCCAAGAGTGTGCAAAGCTGTCATCAAGGCAAAGGGTGGCTATTTGAAGAATCTTAAATATAAAATACATTTTGATTTGTTTAACACTTTTTTGGTTACTACATGATTATTTCATAGTTTTGATGTCTTCAATATTATTCTACAATGTAGAAAATAGTAAAAATGAAGAAAAACCCTTGAATGAGTAGGTGTTCTAAAACTTTTGACGGTAGTGTTAATATATACATACAGTTGAAGTCGGAAGTTTACATACACCTTAGCCAAATACATTTAAACTCTGTTTTTCACAATTCCTGACATTTAATCCTAGTACAAAGTCCCTGTCTTAGGTCAGTTAGGATCACCACTTTATTTTAAGAATGTGAAATGTCAGAATAATAGTAGAGAGACTGATTTATTTCAGCTTTTATTTATTTCATCCCATTCCCAGTGGGTCAGAAGTTTACATACACTAAATTAGTATTTGGTAGCATTGCCTTTAAATTGTTTAACTTGGGTCAAACGTTTCGGGTAGCCTTCCACAAGCTTCCCACAATAAAGTTGAGTGAATTTTGGCCCATTCCTCCTGACAGAGCTGGTGTAACTGAGTCAGGTTTGTAGGCCTCCTTGCTCGCACACGCTTTTTCAGTTCTGCCCACAAATGTTCTATAGGATTGAGGTCAGAGCTTTGTGATGGCCACTACAATACCTTGACTTTGTTGTCCTTAAGCCATTTTGCCACAACTTTGGAAGTATGCTTGGGGTCATTGTCCATTTGGAAGACCGTTTGCGACCAAGCTTTAACTTCCTGACTGATGTCTTGAGATGTTGCTTCAATATATCCACATCATTTTCCTTCCTCAAGATGCCATCTATTTTGTTAAGTGCACCAGTCCCTCCTGCAGCAAAGCACCCCCACAGCATGATGCTGCCACCCCTATGCTTCACGGTTGGGATGGTGGTCTTCGACTTGCAAGAACCCCCTTTTTCCTCCAAACATAACTATAGTCATTATGGCCAAACAGTTCTATTTTTGTTTTATCAGACAAGAGGACATTTCTCCAAAAAGTACGATCTTTGTCCCCATGTGCAGTTCCAAACCGTAGTCTGGCTTTTTTATGGCGGTTTTGGAGCAGTGGCTTCTTCCTTGCTGAACGGCCTTTCAGGTAATGTCGATATAGGACTTGTTTTACTGTGAATATAGATACTTTTGTACCCGTTTCCTCCAGTATCTTCACAAGGCTGTTGTTCTGGGATTGATTTGCACTTTTCGCACCAAAGTACGTTCATCTCTAGGAGACAGAATGCGTCTCCTTCCTGAGCGGTATGACGGCTGCGTGATCCCATGGTGTTTAGACTTGCGTACTATTGTTTGTACAGATTAACGTGGTACCTTCAGGCGTTTGGAAATTGCTCCCAAGGATGAACCAGACTTGTGGAGGCCTACCATTTTTTTTCTGAGGTCTTGGCTGATTTCTTTTGATTTTCCCATGATGTCAAGCAAAGAGGCACTGAGTCTGAAGGTAGGCCTTGAACTAAATCCACAGGTACACCTCCAATTGACTCAAATGATGTCAATTAGCCTATCAGAAGCTTCTAAAGCCATGACATCATTTTCTGGAATTTTCCCAGCAGTTTATAAAGGCACAGTCAACTTAGTGTATGTAAACTTCTGACCCACTGGAATTGTGATACAGTGAATTATAAGTGAAATAATCTGTCTGTAAACAATTGTTGGAAAAATTACTTGTGTCATGCACAAAGTAGATGTCCTAACCGACTTGCCAAAACTATAGTTTGTTAACAAGAACTTTTTGGAGTGGTTGAAAAACGAGTATGTAAACTTCCGACTTCAACTGTATATACACTAATGTTCAAAAGTTTGGGGTCACGTAGAAATGTCCTTGTTTTCGAAAGAAAAGCATTTTTTTTGCCCATTAAAATAACATCAAATTGATCAGAAATACAGTGTAGACATTGTTAATATTGTAAATGGCTATTGTAGCTGAAAACAGCTGATTTTTAATGGAATATCTACATAGGTGTACAGAGGCCCATTATCAGCAGCCATCAGTCCTGTGTTCCAATGGCACGTTGTGTTTGCTAATCCAAGTTTATCATTTTAAAAGGCTAATTGATCATTAGAAAACCCTTTTGCAATTATGTTAGCACAGCTGAAAACTGTTGTGCTGATTTAAAGAAGCAATAAAACTGGCCTTCTTGAGACTAGTTGAGTATCTGGAGCATCAGCAATTGTGGGTTCGATTACAGGCTCAAAACAAATGGCCAGAAACAAATAACTTTCTTCTGAAACTCGGCAGTCTATTCTTGTTCTGAGAAATGAAGGCTATTCCATGCGAGAAATTGCCAAGAAACTGAAGATCTCGTACAAAGCTGTGTACTACTCCCTTCACAGAACAGCACAAACTGGCTCTAACCAGAATAGAAAGAGGAGTGGGAGGCCCCGGTGCACAACTGAGCAAGAGGACAAATACATTAAAGTGTCTAGTTTGAGAAACAGATGCCTCACAGGTCCTCAACTGGCAGCTTCATTAAATAGTATCCGCAAAACACCAGTCTCAACGTCAACAGTGAAGAGGCGACTCCAGGATGCTGACCTTCTAGGCAGAGTTGCAAAGAAAAAGCCATATCTCAGACTGTCCAATAAAAATAAAAGATTAAGATGGGCAAAATAAATGAAAAGATGCGGAGTGCTTGATGCCATCTGTCAAGCATGGTGGAGGTAATGTGATGGTCTGGGGGTGCTTTGGTGGTGGTAAAGTGGGAGATTTGTACAGAGTAAAAGGGATATTGAAGAAGGAAGGCTATCACTCCATTTTTTTCAACGCCATACCATACCCTCTGGACGGTGCTTGATTGGAGCCAATTTCCTCCTACAACAGGACAATGACCCAAAGCACAGCTCCAAACTATGCAAGAACTATTTAGGGAAGAAGCAGTCATCCCAATCGTGAAGCATGGAGGTGGAAACATCATTCTTTGGGGATGCTTTTCTGCAAAGGGGACAGGACGACTGCACCGTATTGAGGGGAGGATGGATGAGGCCATGTATCGCGAGATCTTGGCCAACAACCTCCTTCCCTCAGTAAGAGCATTGAAGATGGGTCGTGGCTGGGTCTTCCAGCATGACAACGACCCGAAACACACAGCCAGGGCAACTAAGGAGTGGCTCCGTAAGAAGCATCTCAAGGTCCTGGAGTGGCCTACCCAGTCTCCAGACCTGAACCCAATAGAACATCTTTGGAGGGAGCTGAAAGTCCATATTGCCCAGCGTCAGCCCCGAAACCTGAAGGATCTGGAGAAGGTCTGTATGGAGGAGTGGGCCAAAATCCCTGCTGCAGTGTGTGCAAACCTGGTCAAGACCTACAGGAAACGTATGATCTCTGTAATTGCAAACAAAGGTTTCTGTACCAAAAATTTAGTTCTGCTCTTCTGATGTATCAAATACTTATGTCATGCAATAAAATGCAAATTAATTACTTAAAAATCATACAATGTGATTTTCTGGATTTTCTGCAAAATCGGCAGTGTATCAAATACTTGTTCTCTCCACTGTATATATATATGTGTGTGTGTATATATTTGATCTATCCTGTTGAGAAAGACAAAGCCGGTTGATGGTAGCAGACACTAATAATAAGAGGCTTTACCGTAACTAGCAGAGGCATTCTTTTGGGATGACAGGGCTTTAAAAGATGACTAAACTGACACCACCTTCTGTATCCTTTAATCAAGGTATTACATGGAGCATTCAAAAAGGTGAACTGGATCGCTTGAATCAACTGGATTACCTTGCTGCATCTCATCCAAGAGTAACATGACCCAGCATTGGAGAAGCCTGGAAATCATGCTCTATTGTGAAATACAACAAGGCATACCAGCCCTCTTGTTCATCAGTCGTCACTATCTGCCCATGCCACAAACTCGTGGGCCATGCTTAACACTTTAACCAAAAATCTAATTTTAACCATTAAGCAACTATACACCGCTAACAAAAACCCTTACCCCTACTATCCAGATGAAGAGTAAATAACTATAATTCAAGTGTAAAATAGCTTTATTCGCTATTTTGACCCATTTGTCCTCTTAGCATGTCCATATTGTGGCTGTCATCTTACATGGCCTGCCAGGCTCCTGCTCCTCATCCTCATCCTCCATGTTGGAGTTATTGCTGTCAGGGGAGTGGGTGCCTGGGTGGAGGGAGCCGGGGTGGTGGAAATCCCTCCATCTTTGTCTTAAGAGGTTGCCTTGGAAAGAATTCTCTCTGCCTGAGGGAAGAGAATTGACAGTTGAATGCATAAACATGTTATATGTGTATGTAAACATGTTATGTTAAAACATAACTGGCTAATATGGCAAGAGTAGCAGTAGCACAATCTCATGTACTATGCTAAACTACTGTATAAAAGGTCACAATCACATTTTGTTTGTTGGGGTAAGACTGATGCCCTTGGATGGATTGATTTGCAGGATTAAATTGCATTGTAATTTGCCAGAGAGTGGAATGATATAGTTCAGGTCTCACCAAGTAACATTTATGTAAACAAATGATGCAAGGCAAGCCTCTTGAGTTTCCAGTAATTGTGTCAGGTTGCCAAGTGCCAACCTACTTGTAAAGAGTCCATAGTGCTTTAGGTGGTGCAGGATGAGTCTCTCATAGGCATCCTCTGATGTCCTCTTAGAATAAATCAGATAAAGCTTGCATTTAGCAGGCTAGGTGATAGACTACTGCAATTACTGTGATCATTTTGTAAAAATACTGTAAATATGTGAGTAACCGTAAAACATCTGGGGCCGGTTTCCCAAAAGTATCTTAAGGCTAAGTTAATCGTTAGAACCTTTGTTGGAGCATCGTTAAATCTCTGAGCCGTTTCCCAAAACCATCGTTATTAACGTTGCACTTGAAACCGCTAGTAATCTAACGCCTGCCTCAGACCACTCGTAGAACAGCTAAATGCGCCATTAGATGCTTTATACATAGAATATCTATGACCGCCGATAACTTCAGAACAAAGTTGACAAAAAAAAAAAAAGTTGCCAGTGTCTTTGCAATTGATCAAAACAAGCAACGTAAATGAAAACCGAGATGACTCCATTAAAATAAACAGTTGGCTATAAGTTTATTTGAATCATATTGAAGTACATTTCATATTCAATCAATTTAGTTATATTTTGTACTTGTAGGCTACGGTCTGACATTTGTCTCAATATATGATGTGTAGCCTAACTTGTGCAATGATGTGCCAAATCGGTGATTCAGTGCATTTTTGGGGTGTAAGCATTAGAATAAACCGCCTCAATATTTACAGCCGTATGTAGTAAAATCTCTCTAGGAGCTGATCCGTTGTCAGTTTTGTGAAATAATTAAAATGTTAAGGAAAGATTTGAATGGAGAAAGCTGATCCGAGAGCAGCGCTCCTTTTCTTTCGATCCTAATCGGATCGACACATCATGCTCCAACGACGCACTTAGAAAACCTCTCTGCGTGGTGTTTTGGGAAACGCATGTTACATCTTCGGCCTTTGTAGGAAAGATGCATCCTTAAAACACGAAATTCCATCGCTATCGGGAAACCGGGTCCTGACTAGTAACGCTACAATTACAATCTTACCCTATCATAACAACAATCAAGTTTGTGTCTTGTTGGCATAGAATAGTTTGTAATAAAATAATGTTGCCTATGGCTGCAAATATTGTAGAACACCTCATGTATGCTGCTCTCACATAAATAATTCCTAGAGATCATTGATGAACTAGCTAGCTAACCAAGCAATCAAATAAATCATATGTACATGTGAAAATGTTTTATGGGATGCTTTTGCTCTAGTCATGTTTTTGTTAGTGGTCCACTCAACATGTTAACATTTTTCTCATCTAACTAACTAGTTACAGTACTGACCAGTATCTCGGTGTCTGTCTTCAATGCTGGGCACATCCTGGGTGGAACTGCAAAAGAGAATTCCCACAAAAGTTTGTATTCACGTGTTGCTTGCTAAATTAGCTAACGTTACTTAGCTAGCAGCACAACTTTAGGCCAGCAACAATGAGTGGTAACTGGTTACAGCTTCTCAGTTATCACATATTATTGAACATTCCTAACAGCAAATAACGTTAGACAAAACGCCAAACGTACCTTTGAATTAAAAACACGTCTTGACTTGCAAGAAAAGTGTGGGTGAACTTCATAGTTAGCTAGGTCACTTAACATCAGTAGCAGCGAGCAAAGAAGAACTTTAACTACACTGTTGCTTAGCAACTGATGTTCTGTGCACCGTTGCCATGGAATCAGGGGTGCGTTCAGTACGACAGAACGGTATTCAATGTTTAATTAAACGGAAACGATACTGTACTGAACGACCAGTTGAATGCCATTGTGATGATGGGGGCCAGAGAGAGATTGTATGGTGGGCTGTCTGCTGCACGAGTTTTGTGATTTCAAATGGTCACACCCACCAAACGGGAGCAAACGCACCTCAAACCGTCACGCAACGTAGCACACGTTGAATCGAACTGAACTCACCCTAGTTCTATTGTTCGAAGCGTTGCTTTGGTCGTGTTCAAGAGAATCAAGTAAGCAAAATGCTGCGTATAATTCATATACCAGTGGTGTGTGTATCTCCCGGTGTGTTCTTTTATACCTCAGTGGTGTCGAATATCCGACCTTGCCGCGCTCTAGTACTCCAGGCCAGCAGGTGGCGAAAATACCTAGCTACGGCAAGATCAAGAGAACGCTCAGTGCACCTTTTGATTACAGCACCGGCACGGGTAGAGCACACTAAGGTAGCTTGCTAGCTACACCTTGCATGATCTAAAAATGTCCAAAATACAGTTGTTAAGGTTTTTTTTCGACCAGCGTTTAACAGTTGCTGTTGAGGAGATATTCGGGGCAGTTGAAAAAAACGCTAACTGAGTACCAGGAAGACGTTTCTTGTTCAAAGGAGGAAAACGACTGCAAAGGCTGCTTGAAATCGCTGTTATTAAACCTGAGATCAAGCTACACAGAGCAGGTTCGTTAGTTTGAATAGTTCGACAACTCTACATTGTATGTAACAACATGTACAGTATTTATTGGACGACTCATATCAGCATTGCGCTTTCAATATTAGTGCTGTGTAAGCTCACCTACTGTCACTGTGTATGGTGATTGCAGTCTACCCTAGGCGACTCATGACAACGTTTACATTGTCCTTTCATCCAGACCTCCAACAGCTCACTCTCCATGCTCATCAGGAGGATCTCGCTGCAGTAATCCAGACTGTTCTGCAGTTCAGAGTGAAAACAGTGAGTGTCAATGGGATGGAAAGTGAAGTCCCTCCGTCAGGTTTTAAGCCAGGCAAATCAAATATAACATGGACAGTAAAAAGACAAAGCTCCTGTGTCAATAAGGGTAGGTGGCTAAGAGTGCACATGAGGCCTCATACAGGGGAGAAACCATACACTACCAGTCAAAAGTTTGGACACACCTACTCATTCAAGGGGTTTTCTTTATTTTTACTATTTTTTACATTGTAGAATAATAGTGAAGTCATCAAAACTATGAAATAACACATGGAATCATGTACATTTACATTACATTTTAGTCATTTAGCAGACGCTCTTATCCAGAGCGACTTAGTGAGTGCATACGTTTTTCATACTGTAGTAACCAAAAAAGTGTTAAACAAATCAAAATATATTTTATTTGAGATTCTTCAAATAGCCACCCTTTGCCTTGATGACAGCTTTGCACACTTGAAGTGGAAACGTCTAGGAGCAACAACGAAATGGTTTGTCGAGATCGGTGTGGATGAACTTGACTGGCCTGCACAGAGCCCTGACCTCAACCCCATCGAACACCTTTGGGATGAATTGGAACGCCAACTGCGAGCCAAGCCTAATCGCCCAAAATTAATGCCCAACCTCACCAATGCTGTTCTGGCTGAATGGAAGCAAGTCCCCACAGCAATGTTCCAACATCTAGTGGAAAGCCTTCCCAGAAGAGTGGAGGCTGTTATAGCAGCAACGGGGGGACCAACTCCATATTAATGCCCATGATTTTGGAATAAGATGTTCGACGAGCATGTGTCCACATACTTTTGGTCATGTAGTGTATCTGTTTATTTGCATTGGATGCATCTGAATCCACCGCATCCGCCTTTGTCGCACTTCTGCATCTGCGGTGAAAAGTGGCAGAGCTAGAGCAGTGTTTGTCAGACCATGAGACATCCTTCTCACAAAATAGACATCAGACATCAGCTGTCTGAAAAACGTTCCAAGCCAAACCTTCATATCAAGACCACTAACTACTACACACAGCCTACATGGTTGTCACGTCATAGTCAACATACTAGAACTAACGCATTTGTAAACTATCATGCAGTACAGTCAGAAATCAGTTTAGCAGTTACACCGGCGGGCCCCGGTGGCAATAAATTAATAAAACCAAAAGCTTACCTTGACTTAGAAAAGTTCCAGTTGGATAGCCATAGCCAGCTAGCTAACATAGCATCCATCTCTGAGCCAGGTGTTTGAGTAGGCTAAACTAGTTAGCTGCATTCACTAGCTAAGTAAAAGTGAAAGTAAAAAATATACTACCAAATATAGCTAGCTCTCTCCTCAATTAATTAATTTGTTCAAAACTGTTCAACTATTGTCTTTCTCTTTGAGTCAACTACTCACCACATTTTATGCACTGCAGTGCTAGCTAGCTGTACCTTATGCTTTCAGTACTAGATTCATTCTCTGATCCTTTGATTGGGTGGACAACGTGTCAGTTCATGCTGCAAGAGCTCTGATAGGTTAGAGGACGTCCTCCGGAAGTTGTCATAATTACTGTGTAAGTCTGTGGAAGGGGGTAAGAACTATGAGCCTCCTAGGTTTTGTTTTGAAGTCAATGTACCCAGAGGAGGATAGAAGCTAGCTGTCCTCCAGCTACACCATGGTGCTACGCTACAGAGTGCTGCTGAGGCTACTGTATACCTTAATTGAAAAACAGTTTGTTTTAATCAATTATTTGGTGACCTGTGAATATAGTTAGTAGTTTTATCTAAAAAGGATAACTTTGAATGTTTCACAATATTTATGAAATTCCCTGAGGATGGTCCTCCCCAGGTTTCTCACCTAGATCTGTTTAGTCCTAATGCTGGTCACAGTATATGAGAGGAGTAAATAGCAACCCGTGAGAGAGACAACCTATGTTGAAATTGTTTGTGAAGGTGTTCTAATATGGTGGGAGGAAAGGAAATAAGCTACTTAGGTTCACTGGCATACCAGACACCCCTGCAGCCCCCGCAAGGCAGGGGGGCCCATGCGCCTGTCATTGATGTCTATTTTTTTTAAATGGAATAAATCATTTTGACAGTAACCCTCAAAAAACTCGGGTGTCCTAAAGCTCATATCATACCGAGAGCCTAATGCTTCTTATGTAGTTATTTATGAGTTTTAGTTTAGAAAACGATCTCTCCGCAGAAGCGACAGTTACAGGGATGGTAAAAACAGCTTGATTGCCGTAGCAACATCAGGGAAACTGGCCAGAAGGGAGGAGTGCTTCAAATACAGCAGTTCTGCAACATCTTTAATTGAGCCTCTCATTATCCTTAATTGCCGGCCTCATCAACACATTACGGAAAGAGATTAACTATATAGGAAGCTCTGGTCATCTGGATACTGGACAGCCAATAAATTGGCAGATGCAAACAGATTATCATATTTAGCGGACAACAGTTCTTGAGGGCTTGAACAAAAAAAGCAGTTTGCGATTTTCGTTCATACTGGTGAACAGGCGTTTGAGTTGTGTGGTGGCAATATCAACAGTCCCTTATCTCTGGTATATCATGGCATGCATCATTCAATACTAAGTTAAAATTATGTGCAGCGCAATGGACATATAATATGCACAATGTCTCAGGAAAGACTGTCTGGGTTGACAATACTCAGTATAGAAAACAGCCTACAGGCCGCGGTGAAAACATTTGCACACAAAAGGAGGACCATGGAGTCTCTCAAATTGGATTTAAGTCAATTTAGGCATAACTTAATTTGCCTTGAATATTGCAGCCTATTTGTGTAGGTTATTAGCCAGACAAAACCCGCTGAGTTCAACAATAAATAGTGGCTGAATTTATCCTCAAGCCAACTACTTTGTTCCTCATTGTCGCGCTATTTGATGTGTAATTTTTATAAAAAAGTTTATAAGTAGCACCTACATCGCAGCTGAAGACAGTATATAAGCTATAGATAGCACAATGCATAATGAAACCTTAGTGTTTGAGGGTGACCTGACTGTATTACTTGGCATTAATAGACTAGCTTTATGCACAACTACTTTCTATTCAAGCTGGGAGAGAGTGTGAGGCCCGTTCATGTCATGCAGGTTCAGGTATCCTATGCAGGACAGTTGTATATATATTTTTAAAATCTGAGAAACTGCATTACGCCAGTGCTTATGGTAATACATCTAAAAAAAAATCAATAATAAAGGTACTGCGATTTCAAGTATGTTTTATTCAGTTGAGATTTGTTGAGCTATTGTTTAATGCTCATGAAATATAATAAGCACAATTGTTCACTTCCAGGTAAATCAGGCTTAAACGTCTTTCTGTAAATGTGCAGTTAGTTGCTGTTCCAACTGAAGAAACTGTTGGTCAGGCAGCAGATACCTCTGAATGATGGCCATCACATCTTTTTCAGTGCTGTGTTCAAAGTCATGTCTGTTCTTGAATGGTAAATGTCCAGCCAGCTCACACAGAGCCACATTGAAGGCAGATTCATCTTTGGCACCAAAGCAGGACCTCCTGGGCCACACGACAATGCGCACACCTCGCCTGGCACGCACATCAGACTCCCCAGGTGGGCAGCCTCGGGTGAAAAACAGGTTGTGTGCCTTGTTCCCCTCCACCAATGAGTCTGTGACCAGACTAATGGCACGGACAACTTTCTCAAGGTCATTCGTTTCAGCGTAGAACATAAAGCCGATGGGGAAGTCTGTCAGACGGTAAAATCCCTTTTCCGGCAATAAGGGTTGGGTTGAAGCAGTTTCTAATTTTAGCTCCTGGTTCATGTAGTATCCATGGAGGTGGAGATGATTGACAGATGCAAACGCACCAAGACTATTGAATCCCATCCGGAAGCCCGGGTCAGAACTCAGGAGCACAGATTCAATTCCGATTTGGATGGCAGCAGGGGTCAGGACCTGTGGAGAACACTGGGTGGGCTCTGGAACGAATAAACAGTGGCCAAATTCCAATGGGCTAACATTGACCACCACCATAATTCTACAGAGTTCATCACATGGGTGTCCATTTTCTTTACAGGGGTCCCCACCTTTGTGACGCAAGGTAGGCTCAATTTGTTTACTCATCTCAAAAAGGACTTCCTTTGGATTGATTTTGTTGAAGTTGAACTGCTTGGTGTCAAAGTTTTGTTTGATGCTTAAAATTTCCTGAGGCTGTCTTCTCTCTATCCCTCTTTGAATATTCAGTTGGGCCACATATCGAGCCGGCCCAGGTAAAATTCGTGTCTCCAAGTCACCCAGGTGATAACGGAACAGCCCTCTGCCCATCCTGTCAGTCCAGCCGGCTTGAATTGTGGTGTCAAATTTAGACATCGAGGCCGTTCGGTCACCACATCCAGACCAGCAAACATGGTCAGCAAAATCCCGGTTACAGTAGACGAAACGTGTTGGCGATTTGGCGTTCTCCATTGGTCTGCAAGAAATATTAGCACGGGTAGATAACCAGACGTTATGTGGCACGATGTGTCTCGTTCCAACAGTGAGATGTATGGCATGGAGTGAGAACGCCAAGTCTTATCTCAAGTTAAATGGCGTGTAGCTAACGCACCGTTATCTGAATCAGCAGCGTAGAATATAAATTACATACCAGTCAAGTTTATGTAAAAATCGATTTATAACCGCCAATGTATAAGTATTTTAACCCCGTTATGTACCACACAACTATCAGGAAGCAATTAAAAACATGGCGGCGTCTCGGCAGCAACACTAAGAAAGTACTTCCGGGTCTCGGAATTTCGGAAATGTTCTAAATAAAAGTTATCCACGTAATAGTAGAAAAGTGTCAATAACCTGTATTTATTCATGCTTTATACAAATAATTTAAGGGAAAAAACGGAAGTCAATGTGGATAGGATCCATCTTCGTTCTCCTGCTCGCCTTCCTGTATCAGCGGTTTGTATTGAGGCACGTGATCGCCGTCTGGTGGTGTGTTGGCGTGCTCTATGCAAATCTTGTTACTATGGTATATTACCTCGATTCAGGAAAGGGAAGTTGCTAGCTGCTTTGGAAAGTTATCGAAGCAGAAGGTTATCTTTCTCTGAAGTTAGTTAGCAAATATAACAAACAGAAGAAAGAAAACAACAACATGGGAACAACAGCAAGTCAATTAGGGAAGGATCTGCTCTCAGAATATCAGGTGAAATAAGATAGCTATCTAGCCAATGTAACGTGACACAACAAGTTGTTGGTAATTGTACTGGTAGTTAGGTTAGGTTAACAAATAGATAATTTAGCGAAGTATTTACCGTAGCTAGATAACGCGTTATCTAAAAACTAACCAAGTTTTTTGAATTATTGCCTATATTAACTCTCAAGTGCATTTCAGCTTTTGATGACGTTGTTAGTACGACAACTTGTTGAGCGCATTGCAAGTGACACAAAACTGATAAAAGCAAGAATTTGAGGCATAACTATATATCAATTTGGAATGTGCGTGGTGTATTTGAAAATAATGTACCAACACTTCCCCTCCAGGAGCTGACATTTCTTACAAAACAAGAAATTCTGCTGTAAGTAATTACTGTTATTCCCCATTATTTCAATTCACTGATGTTATTGTTTTCAATATCCTTTTTGATCGTATAGTAAACATATAGGCTTTATCTTGTCAGAGCCAAACTTCCTTGTCAACTCAACTTTAATCCTTACTTATGCAAAGTACTAAAGTCTAATTTACAAGGAAGTTTGACAGGCAAGATGGATTTACTGTAACTGTTTGAACTAGGTTGGAAAGGTTTGTCATTGTACATCTATTGCGAAAGAGACTTGCTGAGCAATCAACATCCATACAGGCAGAGTGGAGGTTGTGTGATGCATGTTTTCTTTAGGGCACACAAGAGATTCAGTGAATGCCTCTCCAAAGAGGACAAAAACCTCCCCACCCCCCGAGTGCCCATGGAGAAAGTCCTTTCACTGCCAGAACTCAAGGTGACAAGATTGCAATTGAAATTCTACTAAATTACTAATTCAGGGAGTAAATTGTTATTATTTGTTTTACTTTAACGTTGTTAAAAACATTTTTGTGTAGCAAATGTTTGATTTGCTTTTGTTCCTTAAAGGCCCAGTGCAGTCAATGTGATTTTATTGTTTTCTATACATTTCCACACTGAGGTTGCAATAATATTGTGAAAATGATAATGCTCTTTTAGTGTAAGAGCTGTTAGAAAAGCGTTGGCCTTTCCATGGTTACATCACCATGCAGTACATTTGTTAATAGTTTTACACTCTCCGCTCAGACCACTCCCAGACAGTCCTAGCAAAATTCTTGCTTGAGAAATTGCACTTTGCTAAGAAAATACAGTTGAAGTCGGAAGTTTACATACAGTTAGGTTGGAGTCATTAAAAATAGTTTTTCAACCACTCCACAAATTTCAGGTGAACAAACTATAGTTTTGGCAAGTCGGTTAGGACATCTACTTTGTGCATGACACAAGTAATTTTTCCAACAATTGTTTACAGACAGATTATTTCACTTATAATTCACTGTATCACAATTCCAGTGGGTCAGAAGTTTACATACACTAAGTTGACTGTGCCTTTAAACAGCTGGGAAAATTCCAGAAAAATATGTCATGGCTTTGGAAGCTTCTGATAGGCTAATTGACATCATTTGAGTCAATTGGAGGTGTACCTGTGGATGTATTTCAAGGCCTACCTTCAAACTCAGTGCCTCTTTACTTGACATCATGGGAAAATCAAAAGAAATCAGCCAAGACCTCAGAAAAATAATTGTAGACCTCCACAAGTCTGGTTCATCATTGAGAGCAATTTCCAAACGCCTGAAGGTACCACGTTCATGTGTACAAACAATAGTACGCAAGTATAAACACCATGGGACCACGCAGCCGTCATACCGCTCAGGAAGGAGACGCGTTCTGTCTCCTAGAGATGAACGTACTTTGGTGCGAAAAGTGCAAATCAATCCCAGCAGCAAAGGACCTTGTGAAGATGCTGGAGGAAACAGGTACAAAAGTCTCTATATCCACAGTGAAACGAGTCCTATATCGACATAACCTGAAAGGCCGCTCAGCAAGGAAGAAGCCACTGCTCCAAAACCGCCATAAAAAAGCCAGACTACGGTTTGGAACTGCACATGGGGACAAAGATTGTACTTGTTGGAGAAATGTCCTCTGGTCTGATGAAACAAAAATAGAACTGTTTGGCCATAATGATCATCATTATGTTTGGAGGGAAAAGGGGGTACCTTGCAAGCCGAAGAACACCATCCCAACCGTGAAGCACGGGGGTGGCAGCATCATGCTGTGGGGGTGCTTTGCTGCAGGAGGGACTGGTGCACTTCACAAAATAGATGGCATCATGAGGAAGGAAATGTATGTTGATATATTGAAGCAACATCTCAAGACATCAGTCAGGAAGTTAAAGCTTGGTCGCAAATGGGTCTTCCAAATGGACAATGACCCCAAACATACTTCCAAAGTTGTGGCAAAATGGCTTAAGGACAACAAAGTGAAGGTATTGGAGTAGTCATCACAAAGCCCTGACCTCAATCCTATAGAAGATTTGTGGGCAGAACTGAAAAAGCATGTGCGAGCAAGGAGGCCAACAAACCTGACTCGGTTACACCAGCTCTGTCAGGAGGAATGGGCCAAAATTCACCCAACTTATTGTGGGAAGCTTGTGGAAGGCTACCCGAAACGTTTGACCCAAGTTAAACAATTTGAAGGCAATGCTACCCGAGTGGCGCAGTGGTCTAAGGCTAGAGATCCTGGTTCGAATCCAGGCTCTGTCGTAGCTGGCCGGGAGACCCATGGGGCGGCGCACAATTGGCCCAGCGTCGTCCAGGGTAGGGGAGGGAATGGCCGGCAGGGATGTAGCTCAGTTGGTAGAGCATGGTGATTGCAACGCCAGGGTTGTGGGTTCGATTCCCACGGGGGGCCAGTATGAAAGATTAAAAAAAAAATGTATGCACTCACCAACTGTAAGTCGCTCTGGATAAGAGCGTCTGCTAAATGACTAAAATGTAAATGTAAATACTAGTTGAGTGTATGTAAACTTCTGACCCACTGGGAATGTGATGAAATAAATAAAAGCTGAAATAAATAATTCTCTCTACTATTATTCTGACATTTTACGTTCTTAAAATAAAGTGGTGAGCCTAACTGACCGAAGACAGGGAATTTTTACTAGGATTAAATGTAAGGAATTGTGAAAAACTGAGTTTAAAAGTATTTGGCTAAGGTGTATGTAAACTTCTGACTTCAACTGTATATATATATATTTTTTTGGCCGTTTGAATTTAAAACAGTAAGGAACGATTAGTTACCGGAGTGTAACTCCAGTTCTATGAGTGGAGCAGAGCCCCATAGGGGAGCTCTGCTCCTAGTGGTTTACCCTCTGCCCTAAGGCAGCAACAGCCTGAGACAAAATTATGCACACACCTGCAGCCAATAGGAGCACAGGTGTCCCTATAAGAGGGGATGCCTCCCCTCAATCAGCCTCCAGAGATATTTATCTTCAGCGAGACTAGAGAGGGTCGGCAGGGCCTTAAGTCCTATGGGGCTCCGCTCCACTCATAGAACTGGAGTCACACTCCGGTAACTAATCGTTCTATATCGTGGAGCTCCGCCCCATAGGGGAGCTCTGCTCCTAGTGGTTTAAGGCGGAGCGTAGCGCTCCAAAATGTACTCCCTGCCGAGCCTAACACTTCCCATTAAAAATGAAAAGGTCAGGCCTAGCAATGGCTGCAACCAATTCCTGCAGTACTGCAACTAAGAACCCATACGGGCGTCACAATATACCGCGTCATCGGTTAAAGACCCGCCCCACCTAGTTTAATGGCAATGCCAATGACTAGTGGGCAGATCACCAGAATAGAAGCCATACTAATCTGTACTAGCAGATAGATGTGCCTCAATATCTTGTGAAAACACTACCGGCCACTAACGGAATGACACCAAGTGTCACTCTACATTGTGTACACGGTAGACCGCCTCACTCACTCAATGGAATCCCAGAGATTAGTGGGCAGGAACAAACATGGGTCATACTAAACTGAACAAGCAGATAGATGACCTCACATTCTGTCAAATCAATACATGCCTCTACTGTACTGAACCTGTCAGTCAGGAGTCATGCCACAAGATATGCTTTCCTATCCAAAGCGGACCTGATGGAAACCTGTGTCCAACGTCCTGCTTTTTCCTCTCTTTCTAGCTCAAGATTCCCCTTAAGCTATGCTGAGTACAAATCGAGCCAGAGAGATAGAAAGCCTATCTATCAAAAAACATGTTTTCCTAACCAAAGCGGACCTGATGGAAACCTGTGTCCATAGTCCTGCTTTTTCCTCTCTTCCTGGCTCAAAATCTCCTTTCAGCTATGCTGAGTACAGACCGAGCCAAAGAGTTACAAAACATATCTATCAAAAACACGTCTTCCTAACCAAAGCGGACCTGATGGAAACCTGTGTCCACAGTCCTTCTTTTCCTCTCTTTCTTGCTCAAGATCTCCCTTCAGCCACGCTGAGTACAGATCGAGCCAAAGAGTTAGAAGACATATCTAGTAGATAGAAACTGGATAAATGGAGACGGTGTCGACCATGACGCTGCTCTACAAATATCCTCTACCCCTGTTCCTCTGAAAAGGGCAGTAGAAGCTGCTACTCCACGAGTGGAGTGAGCTCTGATACCCTGAGGCAATTGTCGCCCCGCTGCCTCGTAAGCTGTCTCAATGCCTTCACAAAGCCAATGAGACAATTGCTGTTTTGAAAGTGGTCTACCTAATGCAGCCGCACCGTGACACACAAACAGCTGAGGCGATGACCTAATCGCTGCTGTGCGCTCAACGTAACACGCCAAAGCGTGCACTGGGCACAGACAATGAAGCTTTTCCTCACTCCTCTCCCTATGAGGAGGGGGAGAAAAAGCCCACAACTCCACGGTCTGTGATCTATATGCACTGCAAATAACCTTCGGCACAAACGCCGGGTTAGGACGTAACACCGCTCTGCTCAGATCGCCATTAATGGCAAGGCAGTCGGGTCTCGTCGACAGAGCACACAAATCACTGACACGCTTAGCGGTAGTCAAAGCGAGCAACAGTGCCGTATTCATAGACACCATCTTGAGGGGTATTTGATTCAATGGCTCGAACGGCGACTTACATAGCGCTTCGAGTACCAAAGCCAAATCCCACTGGGGCAGCGTGGCTCTAGGCATTGGCCTAAGCCGCCGCGTTCCCAATAAGAAACGTTTCACTAGAGGGTGGCTGAACACATTCGTTCCGCCAAACCCCTCATGACCAGCTGAAATCGCCGCTGCAAACACTCTAATGGTGGAGGGCGATTTCTGCTTATCAAACATAAACTGCAGAAAAGAGAGCACACTCTCAACCTGACAGTTCATGGGGTCCACACCCTGTGTGTCACACCATCGTGAAAAAACGTTCCATCTGCTGGTATACATCCTAGAAGTGGAACCGGCTCGTGCACCCTGTATGGTTCTGATCACTGCATCAGATAACCCACGGCGCCTCAACCTGTCCCATTCAGGAACCAAGCCTTCAGTGGTTGGCCGATTATGGGCAACTGCCCTATCGAGCCTCCCGCCTGGGTCAACGCGTCCCGTCGATGTGGAATTGGCCAAGGTGGCGCAATCAACATCTGACTCATCTCCGCAAACCACGGAGCCCCTGGTCGATCGGGGGCTATCAATATTATTGACAGCCCTCCTGATCTCACCCTGGCTAGCAGTGGGAGAATGCAAGACAGCAGAGGGAATGCGTACAGAAGAACTTTCGGCCACGGGTAGTGCGCGAATGCGTCTCTTCCCAGTGGTGGTTCGTCCTGTTCCCTCAGGGAGAACCATAGGGGACATTGCGCGTTCACGCGTGACGCGAATAGATCCACCTCTCCCGAACTGTTCCCAAATTTGGAGAACAATGTCCGGATGCAGACACCACTCGTCGTCTCGAGGACCCCCTCTTGACATGAGGTCTGCCCCTACGTTCAAGTAGCCCGGAATGTGTGCTGCTCTCAACGAGCGAAGGTGCTTGTGAGCCCACAGCCACAATTCCTTTGCCGCCCGGTGGAGAACAGGAGACCTGACTCCTCCCTGGCGATTTATGTGAGCTACTGTGGTCCGGTTGTCTGACCAGACCAGCACATCGCGACCCCGAAGGGTAGACGCGAAGTGGGTCAGAACCAGTCGAACCGTTTCCAACTCCAAGAGGTTTATGTGACGACTCGATTGAGGCCACACACCTCCTATCGCTTGAGTCTGACATGTCCCTCCCCATCCAGTCAGAGAGTTATCTGTGAACACTGGAATGTAGGATGACACCTTGCCCATCGGGACTCCGTGCGTGAGAACGCTCGGATTCCTCCAATATTCCAGGTCTGCTCTTAGTGAGAGAGGAACCACCACCAACCGATGACGTTGACGCACTGGGTCTAGTCTTAGTTGGGCGAACCATCGCTGTATTCTGCGCATGTGCAGAAGTCCCAGCGGAACCACAGAGTGGGCTGACGACATGAGACCCAAAAGTGACATGATCGACAGCGCCGTCACCGTGTGATTCGGACGACACCTCCTTAGGGCTAGCAACAATGCTGCCCTTCGAGGGTCCGAAATTCGAGCCCTCATCATTACAGTGTCTAGCTGTAATCCCAGGTAGACAATCTGATGACTGGGCCAGGGCGCGCTCTTTTTCCAATTCACAGCGAACCCCAGACGTGTGAGATGAATCACTGTCTGTGTCGTGTGAGTGAACGCCAGCTCTGCTGACGGGGCGAGAACCAGCAGGTCGTCTAGGTAGGCTAATAGCCGTATCCCCTGACGACGCAACGGTTCCAATGCCGCCTACACATTTGGAAAACGTTTGAGGTGCCAGAGCGTACCCGAATGGCATCCTCGTGAACTCGTACGCCACCCCTTGAAAGGCGAACCGCAGAAACCTCCTGTGACGCGATTGTATCGGCACATGGAAGTACGCGTCCTTTAGGTCTATGCTTGTACAAAAGTCTCCTTTTTGGACACATTCCAGTAGACGTTTTGTCGTCAGGATTCGGAAGGGCCGTTTGGTTATGCTCTCGTTGAGAATGCGTAAATCCAAAATCGGCCTCACTCCCCCCGTCTTTTTGGGCACTAGGAAATAAGGCGAATATAGCCCCTTGTTCCTTTGCTCCCGGGGAACTACTGTGACCGCCTCCTTCGCCAAAAGTTCCGTAATCTCTGACATCAGAGCGGCCACTTTGTCTGGCGTTTTCATCACCGTCTCCACCACTCCCCTGAACGGGGGTGGGGTTCGATGGAATTGGAGGGCATAACCCTTCTGCAACGTCTGTTCTAGCCAGCGTGAGAGGGTACAGCTTCGCTGCCACTGCCAGCAATGCAGAGAAAGCGGGCGCGCGCGAGCGAAGCTGTGGTGCATTCAGTAGGAAGGACCTGTATTCTTCTATGGCCCTCGCCGCCGCTATTCCCCAGCACTGGGTTGGTGGAATAGCCCAAGGCGGGCCCCCTTCGAAAGGGAGAGGAAACATCAGCACGTTCTGAGAGAATCGGAGGCCTTGATATGTTAGTTACGTCTGTAACTCTAGTATTCCGGCCCTCCGTGAACGTAGCACGGGCTTGAGCTGCACTGACTGAGGTATTAACCTGAGACAGAGCGCCCTCCCCGGAAAGCAATTGCGTCATCACGCCATTGTCTGACCGAGACTGCTGCTTGCCATGAGAGCCGTCCACTGCAGTACTCATCAGAGTCTGGAAAGTGTGGTCTCTAACTGGTACCACAAGGTGGCGCCACAATACCTATTTTTCACTAGTCTCATGAGATTGCTCAACTGCACACTCTAGGTGTGGTGAGCTGTACTCAGAGTAGTGGGTATTGTTACATTCTGAATTGACCGGGGGCGCCAATACATTGGTTACACCTGTAACTCTAGTATTTCGGCCCTCCGTGAACGTCGCACGGGTCTGAACTGCGCTGGCTGAGGCATTAGCCTGAAGCAAGGCGTCATTCCCAGCTAGCGGCTGCGTCTTCATGTCATACTTAGACTGAGACAGCTGCCTGCTATGTGAGACCTTTACTACAGAGCTCCTAGGAGTCTGTAGTGTACGATCTTTATTAGGTGAGCTAAGGCTACGCCTTGCTGCCCTTTTCTCCTTCCTCTCCTGTGTGTGTTCAACTACGCACCTTCGGTGGGTTGAACTACACTCAGGATGGTGGGAGAAAATCATGGGGCGTGAAGTACTCTGAACGTTTTGCAACGTGTCATGGAAAAGGGGCTCTTTTGTGACAATGCCCTGAACAATAGGGTGGGGGGGAACAGTGGGCTCTGTCGCGTCCAGCGCCGAGCCGCCAGCCGTCCTCTCCCCCTCGTCCCGTCATTGGCGCCGTCTCTTCTGGCTGACCTTCTGGTGCTGCCAGGACGGTTTCATGACGACCTCTCTCGCCGGCGGAATCGTCGCAACCACTGCCGTCGCTGGGGGGGCCGAGCCCGCTCGCCTGCTGTCAGTGGTCGGCGTCTGTCGCCTGGCCCGTCGCCTCCCTGTAGATCTACTGGGGGCGTTAGAGGGTGGTGGGTTAGCTGATGCCTGGCTAGACTTCCTTGCCAACGGCAGGTATTTAGCCAGGTGCTTCCTTTCCTCGTCGAGCTTACCGAATCGCTCCGTCGCCTCTTTAACGGCGACCCCAAAGAGGCCCTCGCTAGAGAGGGGAGCGTTCAGCAGCGAGGCTCTGTCCGTCTCCTTCATGGCCGTCATGGACAGCCAGAGGTGACGTTCCATGACCACCGAAGTGGCCATGGACCGGCCTGCACATATCGCCGACGCCTGTGTCAGGTGAAGAATAGAGCCAGAAATCCTGGACGCCTCTTCAACCTCCTCGCTGGTCAACTCAGACCTACCCGTTGTTAGACGGGATAGGGAGGCCGCGAGGAGGGCAATGTTGTTAGCTGCTGACACAGCCTGGGCTCCCAGCGTAAAGGACTTCTCAGCCAGCTGTGCTGTGAGTCTGTCCTTTTGTGCTGGCAAGGTGGCTTTCTTGGAGGCCGCCCAGAGACTCGAACCCGGCACTAGATACGCCGCCATGGCGCTCTCGAGCCTAGGGATTCCCTTGGCAGCCCACTCATGTCCAGCCACTCTCGTGAATGGGGAGTACACCCTGGCCGGTGAACGCGCCGCCAGGGGTGCTTCCCACGAGCCCTCGACATACTTCCCAAGAGAAGGCATAGCAGGAGCCAGTGGCTCAGCTGCCTTTCTCGGTCGAGAGTAAGGGCCGCCCTCCATCATATCAACCTCCACAGGGGGCAGCGCTATCTCTAGTCGCTTAGCGGCTCTCTCAATGAGTCCAGGGAAGTCCGAACGCAGAGAGGCCGCTGCGAAGGACAGGGCTACTGACGTGTCAGAGCCCGTGTCGTCATCGCACAAGGAGCCATAAGACCTCTCACTCCCCAAAGGGAAGGGGGTCTTGAAGGTCTGCGTCAGAGGGTCGGATTGTTCCATTGGAACATCCATCTCTGCGTCCCTCTCCTTGTCATCCCCTGAGTCAGCGCTGTCCGACGACGCCTCTGAAGCAGAGGCGAGAAGAGACAGTACATCCTCTAGGGGGATATCCTCCCTAAAAAACGCCCAACGCTGCTTCCTCACCTTCATAGGAAGGAGGGCGCAGGAGGCGCAATTAGGGGGATTGCCGGTCCCGTCCTTGGCATGCTGCGGCCCCAAACACACGAAACAAAGGTCGTGGGGGTCCGCAGACGCCATGGAGGTGCATCGGCACTGAGCCCTGAAAAGGGCTTTTGGGGGTGGAAAATCTCCCGGTGTGCTCATTCTAGAAGACGTCGATGGCTGGCTCATCGACGGCGATTTCTTCCTGAGTCTTCTACTTCGTCTCTTCTTGGCTTCTTCAGTCTAGTCGTCCAGTCGCTGAAGATAAAGGGAGGCTGATTGAGGGGAGGCATCCCCTCTTATAGGGACACCTGTGCTCCTATTGGCTGCAGGTGTGTGCATAATTTTGTCTCAGGCTGTTGCTGCCTTAGGGCAGAGGGTAAACCACTAGGAGCAGAGCTCCCCTATGGGGCGGAGCTCCACGATATAGAACTTAATTGTTACCCAGAAATGATTCGATATTGAGATAAAAATGGCTGCATTGGACCTTTAATGTTTATGTTCTGTCCCCACCCTTTAGTCCAACCCTTTCAGAAAAAGGATCTGTCACGTATTCTCAACGTCTGATATGAAAGATGGAAGTCTCACCTTTGAGGACTTCCTTGATCTCTTGAGTGCCTTCAGTGATTCAGCTACACTGGAAATCAAGTCCCACTATGCATTCCGCATTTTTGGTAATACAATTTTGACTTTCTTAGGCCTGTATATGTATGTAGTGTATTCATGGTTGTCTGGCAGTGTGTGGAGGGCTGGTGAAAACATTAAATTGGTATTGTTTTGTCTGTTCAGACTTTGATGATGATGGCACTCTGGATAGTGGGGACCTGGAGAAGCTGGTGAACTGTCTGACTGGTGAGACAGATGACACAAGGCTTACCCCTGAAGAGATGAGGCAGCTCATCAGCAATGTGAGTTAACAGATTATGGCCACTATTGCCTGGTTCTTTCCAATGTGGGCCTACCTCAGGGGAGACCATAAACTGGGAAGAGCATCAGCCTAGCCTATAGCAGCAGCTCTGGCAGATTTGAATACTGTCTCAAAGCAGGAAATTGCATTGCTGAGTATGATCTATAGTCATATCGCTGAGTCTACCTTTCAGGTCTCCATTTGCAATCTCCAAGGCTAAAACAATTACTTATTTACAATATTGCAGATTCTTGAAGAGTCAGATATTGACAAAGATGGGACTGTGAATCTGTCAGAGTTCCAACACGTCATCTCAAGGTCTCCAGATTTCGTCAGGTCAGTACAAATCTGATTAGAATACTCTTCATAATCTCTACATTGCACCTATGAGCCTCCCTCTAATGCTCTGTGTTGTTCTCCAGTTCTTTTAAGATTGTTCTGTGAAGTCTACAAATAAGACACCAGGATATGGATGCTTTGGATTCTCTGTCCTATTGATACTCAGAAGACCTCTTATTTTTTTCATTGTAATAACAATAACCTTTTAGAGATTTTGCCTTAAATTATCTTTGTCTCTGTAGATTAATATTTTCTATTATATGTTTGATAATGTATTTTTACATAATGTATATGCAATAATAGCTCTCTAACTGTATTTTAAAATCTAAATAGCTAGAATAAAAGTAATCAAGTCTTAGTCACTGACTTTGTCATTTCTCTTTTTTTATTTGTCTGAACAAAAAAGCATGAATATCTAGTCCAGGGCTCTCCAACCCTACCCTCTTGTAGGTTTTCACTCCAACCCCAGTTATACTGTAACTAACTTGATTCAGTTTATCAACTAGCTAATTATTAGAATCAGGTGCGATAGATTAGGGTTGGACTGAAAACCTACAGGATGGTCGCTCCAGGAACAGGGTTGTAAAAGCCCTGATCTAGTCAATCAAAATCTGTGCGCTGTCCTTAGTGCTCAACTCCTACAGCCAGTTTTTCCATTCCATGTAGTCCTTGGTTACAAAGGAAGGATAAAGGATATTTGTGTCAGGATGGGGAGGGGTCCTCTTTGATAGCAGAAACAAGAGTTCCATGGCCCAACACATACACCCACCGCACACTCAAGTTTTGAGGGTGCGTGCAATTGGCATGCTGACTGCAGGAATGTCCACCAGAGCTGTTGCTAGAGAATTTCACGTTCATCTCTCTACCGTAAGCCGCCTCCAATATCGTTTTAGAGAATTTGGCAGTACGTCCAACCGGCCTCACAACCGCAGACCACTTATGGCGTCATGTGGGCGAGCGGTTTGCTGATGCCAATGTTGTGAACAGAGTGCCCCATGGTGGCGATGGGGTTATGGTATGGGCAGGCATAAGCTACGGACAACGAACACAATTGCATTTTATCGATGGCAATTTGAATACACAGAAGTACCGTGACGAGATCCTGAGGCCCATTGTGAGGCCCATTTCTTTTAAGGTATCTGTGACCAGATGCATATCTGTATTCCCAGTCATGTGAAATCCATAGATTAGGGCCTAATGCATTTCTTTAAATTGACTGATTTCCTCATATGAACTGTAACTCAGTAAAATCATTGAAATTGTTGCATGTTGCGTTTATTTTTGTTCAGGGTATATCATCGGAGAAAGCATCCGAGCAAGCAAAACAGCGCCACTATAGATGTAGCCCATGTATCTGATGCTATCTGGCCAGAAATAGTTTACATGCCATAGTATGAAAAATGTATGCACTCACTAACTGTAAGTCGCTCTGGATAAGAGCGTCTGCTAAATGACTAAAATGTAAAAATGTAAATACTATTTTGGTCCAGACAGCATCAGATACATGGTCTACACATACTGAGACACAGGGGCGCTCTTTCACTTGCTCGGATCCTTTAACTGAGATTGATGCTACTTTCTGTCGCCGCTTGTCTCAGTCAAATAAATTATAAATATTTCAATATTTTGTTTTGGCGGGCCAGGCCCCCCCATAACGTCGGCCCTGGTGTCCGGAAGCGAAATTCACCATTCATTTTCTGTATTCAGGGTTCACTCAAACATCCTTTTAAGCTTTGTTTTACTATAGCCAGTTACAGCTGATTTTGGGATTGTATATCAATTTGCTTTCCTTAAATATAAGTAATCTGATTTATTTGTTTCAATCTCTGCTCCTGATATATCAGAGCATAAAAACTACAATCTGTCTCCTGAATTAGCCTAGTGTACATGTCTGCCAAGCTGGCGCACATTCGCACTAGGCCCAAGCTTGTTTTCCCTGGCTAAACTAGCTGGCTAGCTGAACTATGCTAGATTTCATCCTCATTGCCAAACTTCATAAATACTGCACCCTCAACTTCAAAACTATTTAGCTAGTTATACAATCATGTAACTAAGACATTAGCTGGAAAGAAACTTGAAAATCGAGATATCTGTTGTAAGACCACAGTGGCGAAGGATATCATTGCTACCTAACGCGGATCCAAGTTCAGTTTTGAGATCCACCGGCATCAGTGACTTAAGGTTAGCTGGACTTTTCTGACTGGTCTTGGAACTGTGACAACGGGCAGCCTCTCCCTGCTTGGCTCGATGGGATATGTTGTGATTTTGCCAACACAGCCAGATATGTGTACACAGTCTTGTATCCTTAACCTTTTTTCAACTGACTCGTATTTGTTGATTTAAATCGGACTTTAATAATATAATGAGTAATCCAGGAACGTCAAGAGTTAATTGACACGAGAAAACCAGAGAAAATAGCAACTCTACAGAGAGCAATGGCTACATTGAAAGGTTAAATTACTTCCTGACACCAAGGGTCTGCGGAGCTCCTCCTCCTCACCACTCTGAACAACAGCGAGGCGCAACCTAATGTATATAGCCCGCCCTGGGAAGGGGTGGAACCATTGGGCAAACCAATGCACCTTGGACTGAAGAGGCAGAAAGATAGGAGAAATGTGGTGGACCCTCTGAGAAATACAAATTTCTCACGGTAGGAATATCACGAAACCCTTATGAAAAAAGATTGCAGTCAGAGTGCAGTATAACTGCAGTACACTGTAGTTAGAATGCAGTATAACTGCAGTAGGCTGCAAATACTGCGTCCAAAATAAGTTTTTTTTTACTGCAGTAATTTTGCAGTATAACTGTAGTTGAACTAAAGTAGACTGCAGTTATTGTGCAATCACTGCGTCCAAAATAACACAGTTGACTGCAGTTACTGCAGTTTCAAAACTGCAATCTTTTGTAAGGGAAAATATGATCAATGGCTCATTCGAGAGAAGACAACCTCCCGCATTACGACATTGGCCAGTATTTAAATTTGATGTATGATAGACGTTTTCGCCATCTATAAGTCATCTTTCTATTAATTTCCTGAGTAATGAGAGCGGCTTTATCCCAATGCTACGTCATACCGGCCGAATTTCTGACTGCGTGAACGGCAAGAGCTCATGATTCACATGAAATGACCCTGGCAATCTATATAACATCGCCCAGAGATGCCCAAAAACGATATAACATTCAAAATGGATGAATCTTCCTTTAAAATATGTCGTCACCCCTGAGATGACTCCTTTAACAGGCTCCGAACTTCAAAGCACGATATTTATGTTGTATGGATTATTTTGAGGCCTACTGCAATCTTCCTCTGTTCTTCAGAAACACAATAAGAGCACTTCTGGGCCCGTATCCTTAAAGATTCTGAGAATCCTCTCAGAGAGCTCCTAACTTAACCTAAAAATTCCTTGCCAGGAGTTTTAGCTTAGAAGTGATTCCAGAACATTTTCAGTGAACTCTGAGCCAGGAATGGATGAAAAATCCTATCTTAGTGAGGAGGTGTGGTTGACCCCGTTGCTAGGTATGAGTCATCATTTCAAAAGCCGTGATTGGTTGATCCTACAAGTTTGATGAAAATGAACTTTTGGTGATAATGAGCAAAGGATGTACCCTCAAATCAATAAACATAATTATACACTCTAATCTTATGCAGACTATAATTGTAAATAATATTTCACATTCAAGAAAATATCTGGAAAATGAATAGTAAGCTGTAGGGGTTATAGCCTAACATTAGAATCTAAAATATGTGAAAACTTAAGCTCATTACACCCTGTTCAAATAATGATTTGTGTCTCATTTGCTCATATTAATATCCTAGCTGGCATATTTTGTACTTTCACTTCCATATGGACCCCATTGAAAACAAGATGGCCTATCTCAAGGGGCTGTCCTTAATGAAGTAGAAATTGCAACGTTACAACTCAGTGTGAACTTAACGAGGGTAACACAGCTCAGCTTTTAACAATGTCTGTGATTGCTGGCTGGTCTATTTATGAAGGCTTGTTAACAAATATCCTACAAACACAGAAAATGGAGAGAAAAAAGGTATCGCAAGCCGAACTGGACTGAGGAGCAAGGTTTGTTGCTGGCCCAGTTGGTGAACGAACATAAAGGTATGTTACGAGGAAAATTTGGCCCAACTGTCACTAGCCAAGGCAAGAGGCGCGCCTGGGACACAATATCCCAAACAATCAATGCCTCTTTTCCACTGGTGGTGCGGACAGGCGACGATTGTGAGAAAAGGTGGTATGTGCTGCAGTCCAAGGCAAAAGATGAGATTGCAGCACACAAGCGGGAATCCTCACTCACAGGTGAGCAAAATACTATGGCCTACCACATAATCTGGCAATTTGCTCCTGCTGGCAAAGTTAATTTACATGCCTAAGTACTGTGTTCATTGACTGTTTCTTTCTAGGGGGTGGACCACCTGCAAAGCGGCTGTCCCAGGTGGCCGACACTGTCTTTCAAGTCCTGGGACACTCTGAGGTCAGTGTCACCGGGCTGCCAACAGGCATTGACACGTCAATGATGCAGGCCCTTGAAATGCAGCAAAGGTAGGACACAGGGTTATTCATATCAACAGTGTTTATTCATTGCAGAAGCCATTTCATGTGTTATCCATGCTCATTGTATTAAATTAATTTAATCAAAACAATAATTAAACTAGGCCTATGTATTTCTGTAGCATGGAGCCATCACAAGAACCGGGCCCATCAAGTTTGCCGCCTGAACCATCTGCAGCTGCTACTCAGGATAGCCCGGCGGATCAAACACCATTCCCATCCGCAGCACCTGCTCCGTCAGCATCCCTGCAGGAGAGAAGATTGCAACTCACAATTGATGTGTTTGAACAACAAAAAAAAGTCCTTTCCCTTCAGGAGGAGTACTACCGCCTTAAAATTGAACACCTAAAAAATAAACCATTTAGAGATTGTGTTCTGTGTCTTGCATTTAACAGTTGCAGGTGATGTGCAGTAAAACTGTGGTAGTTCTTAATACCATCACAAGTTCTCAAATGACATGGGGCTACAGCTTGCCTGAAATGTAAATTTGTGAAGTTTGCCCTGTAAGGCAGTCCACTCTGGGCTAGGTTCCCCTGTGGAATGTGAATATCTTCTTCACCACCATCCTCATCGTTGTCTCCATCCTCATCCTCATCGCCATCCTCCAGAGGTTCTGCAATCTGTCTAACCTTGCAAATATTGTGTAATATTGCACAGGCTATGATGAGTTTGCTGACTTTTTCAGGCCTCAGCCGCACCGCTCCGTGGAGAACATGAAAGCGCCTCTTAAGCTGGCCTATGCCACGCTCCACCACCGCTCTTGTTGTCTTGTGGGCCCTACAATAGAATACAGACCTTTAATTATTTTATGGAAATATTGCACTACTTGGATGCTCTAACATATTGCTTGCATTTCATTTCCATGATTTTTGTATTGTTTGGCTTACCTGTTATAGTTTAGTTGGGGCCCTTGGCGTGGCTGGAGGTAAGGTGTAAGGAGCCATGGTTTGCATGGGTAGCCACTGTCCCCTAACAAGTGGCAATTAGCTGGCACATAGCGTCTCTCAAAAAGCTGTCTGATGCCACTCTCGGAGAGCATTCTCGCATCATGTGTGGAGCCTGGCCATTTAGCCACAATGTCCAAAATCTTCCAGGCCGCATTGAACACTATTTGCACATTTATTGATGCTGTGGAAATTCTTCCTGTTAACAAAGACAGCCTCGTCCTCTGATGGCGCAATTATTCTCACATGTGTTCCATCAATTACACCCACAACGCCAGGGAATCCTGCAATGTCCATAAATGCCCTTTTATGTGTGTGTAAAGTGCGGGCATCCAGCGGGAATGAAACAAATTGTGTCACAATATTAGGTTGTGACAAAGCTGTCAGTGTTTGGGTGATGACTCTGCTGACGGAGGATTGGGACAGACCCAAGTCATCACTGCTGCATTGTTGCATTTTCCCTGTTGCCAAATACCTCAGGGTTGTGATTACTTTCTTCTCCGGTGTAATAGCGTTGTGGCGTCGAGTTGGTGAAGTAATTGCATCTCTAAGGAGATCCACCACAAACATGATTCCTGCACGATCCAATCTGTAGCGTCTCAATAATTCCCTGTCATCCAGTGTTTGCAGGACATCTCTCCTGCCTCCTCTGTTGGCCATTTTGTGCAGCTGCTTAGGGTAACTCCTAAGCCACTAAAAGTCCTCTTCCCTGCTCTTAGCAGATCTCGCCTTAGGAGCCCTTTTAAGCGCTAGGACTCTTGAGGAATAGCTTTTATATTAACTGGGATTTTCGTGTCACTTTTAGGGGAAATTCTAAGAAAACGTCATGCCTCTGAGAATTTTCTTAGAATTTGGCCGCTAGGAGCCACTTTTTGCACAAAAATTCTTTAGAGATACGGGCCCTGGTCTCTTTGATAGATTCCACTTTTCCCAGTTCATGCTTCCCCATCTTAGACACCTCAAACGTGTCTCCCAGATATGCATCCCAACAAGAAACAAATCATTATTATCTGACATACACGAAGATCTATCCTCCACTCCCTTACGAAAAAAGATTGCAGTCAGAGTGCAGTATGCTGCAAAAACTGCGTCCAAACTAAGTTTTTTTTACTGCAGTAATTTTGCAGTGTGCAGTTACAGTGCAGTATAACTGCAGTTATTCTGCAATTACTGCGTCCAAAATACCAGTCGACCGCAGTTACTGCACTTTTACTGCAGTTTCAAAACTGCAATCTTTTTTTGTAAAGGCTCCAACTTTGCTCAACGCAATCCAACCCTGGCATCCACTTCTGCTGCGTAGCTGTCCGATAAATTGAAATACATCTGAAAGGAGCTTGTTTGATGCACCTGCGTAGTATCGGGCAAAAAATTAAAGACAAAGATTATGGATATACTGACAAGATACGTGTCTCTCCGCCCTAACGATTGGTGGATACGTCTCATTATTGTAATCCTTTTTTTGAATATTCGATAAGGGTTGTTGACGTCAACCGCCTATTCAATGGAGAGAGATGCAACGCTACAAGCCTCATACCATTAATATGCATAGCCATCTCGAGACAACTCTGATATAAAGTGTTTTTTTTTCTAAAAGTTGCCAGGATGTTACATGTCCTACTTATATCAGTACACTCGTAACAACTTAAGTGTTACGAAACTTCTATTCGATCAACTAAATCTCATGTAGCAAATAATACATAAAACATTTTGTTGACCAAATTAGACACTCATTGACCTCCATACAAAAACTATTTGCTTGGTGGGCGAAACAATGGAAAAACGCCACCTGCTGGAGGGAGACAGATTTTCCGCTGAGTTGGGCCTCTTTAATCATCACCTTTGCACAAAACATCCATTGAATTATTCAAATAATTTTTGCTGAGGCAGATTTTTATTCCATCACTCACAGCCAAATATATTATTTTATATTCATCCAAAGTCTGCCATGTTTTTGGATAACATGACAAGGTCTGTGGGCATGTGATGTTGGTCCATATATGAAACCCGAATATAGAAGGTCCATGAATCGGCGTATGTGAACATGAGTACATTACCTTAAAAACAACGGGCGAACATCTTGGACGCAGTCTCAAGTTCTTATTATACCTCAGTGGTGTAGATGCAGTCTTCAGTGATTAAAACATGTATATACAATGGATTAGCGTTTAATGAATAATCACTGACTTATTAACCTACGTTTTTTTTATTTGTCAGCCAGCCTTCTAACTGGGTCTTGGTTTACAAACAAACAATAACCAAGACATTGGAAATGTAGTGGAAATATAAAAGGCAAACAAAAACAATGATCCATATAAGAAGGTGCAAGTAAATCATTTGTTTTTCTCTGTGCATAATAGAACATAAATAATGTGTTGCAAACATTAAAAACCTGTAGAAAATGACCGGGAATGGAAAGGAAATACATGTAAAAGATATTGGAATACAAAAGTCAAACTACAGCAAGATCAAGCAATGACTTGTGATGAATGCATTAAGTATTGTATTTGGTTGTTCAGGTTGAGTGTCACACTCTTGTTGGCTATGCATTGTGCCTCTAGCGTCAAACAGAATAATCCATGAGTTCAAGGTGGCACAGCAGTCGAAGCATGTATAATTTGTCCTCTTTAGCCCTGCCCTGGGAGATCTATTATGATAAAAAGAGGTGTGCTCAAATGTTTGTAGTGACAAAAGGTCATCGGCTGCCAGGTTCAAAAGACATATACTTGAAGAAAGGAAAAGGCTGTAATGTTTTTAAATTAAAACTTAAAGAATATTTAAGTGAGTGCGTGTTTTGCCTTTCTTCAAGATCTATTATGAACATTCACCAACTCCAGCTCTCAGGTTGTTGCACATCACTTGATGTTTGTAAAGCATATCAGCCCCCAAACTGAAACCAGCACAGCCTACTGCCCTCAAAGACCAAAACTGCTTGCCTCCTATTCTACAAAACACACCTTACACAGAACAGCAGTGGAACACACTTCCACAGAACAGCAGCATCACACACTTCCACACTGTCCTCAGGGCTCAGTTCCTTCTCCACCTTCCTCTGGCTTCTTGATGATGCTGTACTCCATAGCCTTATCCAGGCAGTGCTGTGCTGCTCTGGAGATGGGGCTCTGCTCTGTGGATTTAGCCAGGACGGAGAGGATCTCCAGTGCCTCGCTCTCCATCAGCGTCTCAGCCAGGCTCTTCTCCGCCTGCATCAGATTCAGCGTGACCACCACTCCACGGTGACGCAGCTCCACGCTGTCACTAAGCAACAGGGCTTGAAGGATCTCTAGCCAGTGACTGGTCTGGAATCAGAGAGAGGGAAGAAAAGTCAAACAGAAATAGTAAAGGAAAGTTGTCTGGTACCGTATATTCAATTTAACCTAAGTGTGTGTTTCGAGGGAGTATTTATCACCGTTCCAGGGATGCGGGCACACAGCTCAGGCTGCTCTGCGGTCAGCATGGCCAGGGTTCCAGCTGCAGCTTTCCTCAGCCTCTCGTCTTCCTCTCCACAGTAGAGCACCAGCAGCTTCAGGCGGTCATTCCCCGTGGCCACGTAGAGCTGCTGAACCTCAATGCTCAGGACCAGGTTACACATGCACTCTGTGGCTGCAGCGCGGACCAGGTCGTGCTCCTCAAACATGTAACCCTCTACCTTGGGTACAGCTTTCTCCTTGATGATCTTCTGTCTGAGCCGCTCGCTGATACCAGCCAGGTTGGTGAGGGCCATGAGAGACTCAAAGTTCTGCAGCAGGGAGCAGTCCAGGGTGAGCAGACTGACCAGGGGACGCACCACTTCATAGATCTACACACACACACACACACACACACAGGAGATAGAAAGGGATCGGGGAGTTTACATGAGAGCACCACAATGGATTGAAATGGACAAATCTGAACAGGCTCAGCAATATCTTATTACTAGATCTCCACACAAACAGAAGTATTTCTCATCAGTGGAGCAGGATAGGGTGGTTATCTCACTCTCTCCCCAGGGAAGGCTATCTCTGGGTTGGATGTGATGGTGATCTTGGCCAGGGCCTGTGCTGCCTTGGTCTTCCCGACATCAGTACTCTCAGACACCAGAGGGAGCAGGGCCTGGGAAGACAGCATAATCAAATGCATTTTACTGGTCAATTAAATCAAGTAAGAAGTATACATTTGGTGTGTTTAGGTATAACTGATGTGAGGATGGTCTCACCTTTCCTCCACCCTGTGCCACCACTGTGCCCCTGTCCTCCTGCCTCTCCACCAGAGCCAAGAACACCCTGCAGAGAGAGATACTACTGAGATACATGCAGGGGGAAAAGACTGAGCTGTAAACTGGGAGGACAGAGTATTATTAGGCTAGAGCCAGGGAAGACAGACAAACCTGGCGATGCACTCCCTGCAGGTCTCAGTAAGGGCGGGACTCTCCTGTTTAACCATGCACACCAGAGCAGACACCACACCTGCCTCCAGCAGCTTCATCAACCTCTTCTCCACAAACGAGTGAGCGTCCTGAAACAAACACACAGTCAGTGGGGCAATCTCTTCGCTATTTTGGCCAGAGCTACTCTATTGGCCAGGTCTCTCTTAAAAAAGGATGTCTTTGACCTCAATGGGACTTTGTGGTTTAAATAAAGGTTTAAGTAATAAAATAAATCTGGGACAAGAGCTGATAAAAATTACCTAATGAGAGGAATATTCCCTGTTTCGAGACTAGGGGTTTAGCGGTTCACCAAACACACGGTTCGGTATGTATTGCGATTTTTAAGTCACTGGTTGATTCGGTTTCGGTACAGCAGGAAAATTAAATGCCATTCACAATGTTCAGTATTCATAATGTTCCTGGCATTGTCTGTTGTGACAGGATTGTTGGGCCTCTAAAGTTCACTCTGATGCTGCGTTTGTAACCATGTGGGAGGTGAAAATGTACCAGTTGTGAAGTCGTAAATACCAGTTGGATGCATTCATGTGATTTGAACTCTTATGGCCAACAAGCTGCGTCAACCATAAACTAAAAGTACAGCTATCATGCTTGTAAATAAAATTAGAGTTCAAAAACCACATTAATAGATTGCTTTTTATAAATAATATTTTGTTACATTTAACTGCTGAAAATGTTGTTATAGAGGCCATTTCCTTAGTCGGTGACGTCAGAGTTCACCATATGGAAGAAGTGGGTGCTCAGGATGATAGACAAGTTTCCCACTTGTAATTACCAGTTGGAGGACCGTTCACGTTTAATACACAACTCTCTGTCCATCGTCGTTGTAATCTACTGGGAAGCCAACATTTTCCCAAATTGGAGATTTAAACGATGATGGAGGATCCTCCAATTCTGGTTTTATCGACCCCACCGGAGAAATAGGTCCCGGCTGCACCTTACAAAAGGACAGTTTGAAATGTGGCATTTAAGATTTGCATTTTTCGCATAGGCTCTGTTTTAAGGGAATATCCTTAAATGTTTTTCAGCTCAGATTTACTCAAGGGACATAGGCCTACAACGCAGTGCAGGAATAGCCTATAGGCCTAGTGTTTTTATTTTTTACATATTTTTTGGAATGTATTCATTCGGGTTCACAGTGCGAACTGAACCGAGGTCCCCGTACCGAATGGTTCGGTACTAATACGTGTACCGTTAGACCTCTAGTCGAGACCCAGTGATTAGTGAGGTTTGGATGTCTAGAAGTACCTTGGGTAACACGGCCCTGACACACACACACACACAGTGCAGTACCTTGGGGTGCTCCTCTGGTACGTGCTGTTTAGCATACTTGGCCAGCTCCACCATCTGAGGGTCAGGCTTGTCCACATCATAGCTGTTAGTACAGTTCACCAGAGTAGAGCCCACTGCAAACAGCACTGTCTTATCCTCTGACTGTAGGGACACACAATACACCGCCATCAGACATTTTAAACATATAAGTCATTTAGCAGATGCTCTTATCCAGAGCGACTTACATCAATAAATGAAATTACTAGTTATCATTACCAGTATATTACACATTAGTATGCACATCTCTACGTCAGTACAAAAGGGAAGCTGGGAGGAACAGATGGTAGCGAGTAGAAAAACATAGCCTCATGATATAAAAAGTCACGATTAACCAATCATATTGTATGATTTTACTTTGATGTTAAGAGGGGGAAGAGGTTAAGCTTACCTTAGCTAGCTGAAACATTGCCTGCAGGGCATTCCTGTCCCCAACTAGGTCCTCCTTTACGTCAGCGTCGAAAGTGAGGTAGGCCAGGCCCTCGATGGCCCACCGCCGAGACGTTGGGGGGAGAGACTCATTACACAGCCACCTGGGACAGGAAGAGGTACGTCATATGACTGTTTCTATAACAACAAGCTACATTTTAAGTTATACACTTTGAAAAAAACAGGTCACATACTTCCTGCACTGTTTGGCCAGTTTCAGTGTGGATCCCTCAGCAAACTGCTTCATGCTGAAATCTGTCCCCCCAGCTGAGCCCAGCTTACACAAACCCTGTAACACACACAAACACATGTTTTAATTAAACTGATTAAGTTATGTCACTACTTATTTCAAATGTTTTTTTTTTATTCCAATGGGACAATTGGCCTAGTGTGTTGGTGTTTAGCTGAACCATAGACAATATAACAATTGTATAGTATAGTTATTGGCTGAACACTCACCACTAGCGCTCGAACGCGTATCCGGTCGTTCTCGCTTTTCTTGTAGAGGTCCTTGAGCAGTGCCACTCCATTGGCTGTGATGAACGAGGCCCTCTTGGCCTTGCCTGCAGCGTGGATCAGAGCCTCCACCGCCACCTGCTGGTGACACACGACCTCCGAGGCACACAGAGAGATGACAGCATCCATCATACCCGACATCTCCAGGGTCCTGTTGCCCACGTCACTGGGTCCTTGCAGAAGCACAGACACCGTCTGAATGGCGCGCAGCTTACTTTCCAGGCCGGGGCGGCCAAAGTGATGCCTGCACAGAACAGAGCAATTGCAGTAAAGGTATCAGAGTAGTTCTCACACAAAAATGCACAAGCCGATTGTTTGGATTTGTTCTGACAATGAAAATAATAAGACAACCTTCCTGGTGGGAAAATCAAGCCATGACAAAAACACTCACTGGACATATTCCTCGCAGAGTTTGTTGAAGTTCTCCCTCTCGGCATCACTCTTCAGGTCATCATAGAGTTTGCTGAGCAGAACAGAGCAGCTCATGTGGGAGTTGTCTGTGAGGGGAGGTCCCTCAGACATCTCAGGGACCGTTCCTGCTACCTCTAGGATCTTCTTTAGCCCTGCACAGGAGAGAACAGAGCTATGGTTGATCTAACACTTTCATAGTTCATATTTACATGTACATCGGATTCAAAATACTATACAGTACTGTGTGAGCCTTATCTGCATGACTGAATGACTGCATCCACCAAAGAGGAAAATACAACATCCTCTGTCTCTACGATACCTTGGTGTCTACCATACAGTGTGAGGGAGTTAGTCCGTCTCTTACCCTGGTCTATGACCCACAGTGTGAGGGAATTGTCTGGGTTCCTCTGGGACTTGCGGGGCACCTGTTTGACCAGGAGGTTGATGGCGCTGTCTCGGCCCGGCCCAGACACGCTGCTCTCTGGCATCATCTCCACCAGGTAGCGCAGCATGGAGCGCAGCTCACGAGACGGCTCTGTATGGCACACACACAAATATATTTAAGTATGTCGCCTTTCTTTTCTTTCTCCGTTTTATTGAGAAGCAACAACCTGTAACCGGAAGACATGTCATCTCACCAGGTAGTATGGCCTCGTCCTTCCCTCTGATCTCCCTATTCATGCCCTCTGTCAGGGCCTCGAACATCACCTGCAGCAGGTGACAGGCAGCCAGGGACACAGCAGACGCCCCAGAGCCCATCACCCCACACAGCTGCTCCATGCCCAGCTCGTTCACTATGGCCATGGTCTGGAGAAGAAGATGGTGAAGGTCATGGTTGAATGCAATGTCGCTAGAATCTTTATCTAAATAATGTCTAGTGTTTCATATGGAGAAACACAGATGTATCCAATACTGACTCTGGACTGATGGCCAGTACACAGGCCAACCAGGGTCCTGAGAGCAGACAGGACCACCTCCTCCTGATTGGAGCCCAGCAGCCTCTGGATCAGCTTCACCCCGTCGTTACGGAAGATCTGCTCGGCTCCCGCATCCTCACGAGACAGCACCACCAGGTTCTGAGCAGCCTGCCATGGAGAAAAAGAAGATCACCAGGTGTGAGGTTCATCAAAGCTGAAAACATGCCAGAGTGTGGTCAGTGTTTATGTGTGTATGGTGTGGTTGTTTTACCTTCTGTCTGTCTGAAGGCTGTGCTGAGGGGTCCAGGAGGAGAGAGAACATCTGCTGAACGCGAGCGTCTGTGGAGGACATCTGAACTGACTACAAGGGAGAGAAAATAAATCCTTATTATAGCCTTTGACCTCCTGGGTACATTGTAGAGACTTAATCAGAACTTCAAGATATTACATAGTCTCTGCTGGTACGTCACCTTTTTCTGGATCTGTGCTCCCAGCAGTCTGAGCAGCTCCTTGAAGGTGTTGTTTGTGGGCTCGATCTGTGCACACCTCTGAGCATCCAGAAACGCTTCGTTCAGACGACCCAGCTTCTGCATGGCCTGTGCCCGCCGGAACCTGGCTTTCACATCACCAGGGTCAGCATCAAGAGCTGGAGAGAGAAAGAGACTCTACTTAGTAAAATGTAGTATAAAAAAATAATTATTTAATTTAGCCCCGCCATTGGTGAGTGACAACATTGACAGGTTTGTTCTGCACTCTACCACCTTTGGAAGCATCAGCCTCAGCCTTCGTGTAGTCCTCTAGCTTGAGGTAGCAGGCGGAGCGGTTGCGGTGCAGGACAGCACTCTCTGCCTGGCTGTCACTCAATTTGAGAGCCTTTGTGTAAAAGCACAGAGCCCCCTGCATGTCCCCTGCATTGAACAGGATATTCCCCTCTTCCTTTAGGGCACCAGTGTCCTGGATCAAAGAGGTACAGATAGTGGGCACAATACTGTCACAATCTGACAACGAATTGTCCAACTTCTCTCCACAATATCATTGTCATTTGGGATATACATGGTTAGACGCAAATGTAGAGAAACTGTACTAACTAGTGATGCATGCCCCAGCACATGTTCACAGCAATTCACACTGTAAATGGTAAGTAAAAATACTGATAAAACATCAATTGCCAGAATAAGACAAAATGCATATAGGAGGTATCGTCGTAGTTGCATATGTGATTAAATGCTCAATCTGTTGATGAACCTAAATAGCTAACGTTAGTCTGATTCATCAGGCTGTAATACACAATTAATTGGTATATACAGCCTGAAACTAATGACTGCAAAATGGTGTAAATGTTCCTTACAAGCCAGAATGTTGAATAAAATTACATTTAAACTTACTCTACTGGTTGTCTGTGGTGTTGGTGTTTAAGATGGTCGAAATTTCAGACAAAAATATCCACAGGAAAGTATTGTTTACCCAACTTTTTATTGCACTGGTAGTGAAGTTGACATTTCGGGGTAAACCATACTTTCCTGTGGATATTTCCTCTCAAATTTCCAGCAGCTGAAGGACAAACCGCACAGCCAACCGGTAGCGTAAGTTGAAATGTCATTTTATTCAACATTCTGACTTGTAAGGCATATTTACACAATTTTGCAGTCATTAGTTTCAATCTCTATGTACAAATTAACTGTGTATTACAGCCTGATGAATCAGACTAAGCAGTAAGCTAACGTTGCCCCAGTATCTGTGCGTTAGAGGTGTCGACAATGAGCATTTTTTCGGTTGCTTTTACATTTTTATTTTGAAGTTTTTTGGAAGTATCTATCGGCCGTAATGGGAGTAAATGAATATATCTGCTCAGCGAAAATCCATATTTTGTGAGTAACGAACGTATTTTCACGTCTCTTCTTCTGCTTCTTCAGTGGGGTTTATCGGCGGTTGACATCCAACGTTATGGTGCATTACCGCCATCTACCGTACTGGAGTGCGGGCCAGAGACAGTGATAAACTAAATCCTACCTACCAACCCCGTTTCTCTTTAAAAAAAGAACGCTTTCGTCTCTCTAGATATGCTGCGTTCAAGTGCTAGTCGGAACTAGGAAACTCAGAAATGTCCGACATGCTGTTTCGTTGAACGGGGCACGTGTATAACTGCAACAAGCTAGTAATTCGGAAATTTCCGGGTTTCCTAGTTCCTACCAGCACGTGAACGCGGCATCAGACCACAGATTCTGGGCAAGCTAACGTTAGCTAGCTAAGCAGCCCACAGAGCAATAAACTCAAAACTATCCGCTATTGGCGATCTCTTACCTTTTCCTTCCCGTTTACACTCATACCTTCCTTCTCTGGCCGATAAACTCTGACGGTAAATGAGACTCTTCTCACTGTAGATTTGTTTCTTTATTTCATTGATTTCTCTGCTTTTAGAGGCGGTAGTTTATGACAGTACTCTATTAAATTCTTCCTGTGGGTGCACGATGATGACGATTATGGAGCGGCTCCTCCCTCTACACATGCTCCATGACCATATAAGGCAGAGAATTTCTAAACGCTTGGACGCTTTCACGCTTCACAGTTGACCGTTTATCTCTCAAGCACTTTATTTGGTTACATTTTCATTGCAAGTATGTTATGTATTGGACCAGTAGACCTACAGTCAATGCTTTTTACATAGGGATAAAGTGAGTGCAAAGCATCTGAACAAGGCCTAATGTTAAGATGTGACATTTCATAAAATATAATTACATTACTATTCACTCCTCTCTTTTTTAAATGCTAGAATATAGGGTTATGTAGTTGTCTTTTTCAAATGAAATACAGATCAAAGCCCGGTCCCTTACTAAATCCATTAAGTGTTAAATATAACGGAATGTGTAGTGCCTCCAGGAAAACTACTAAACACAAATATAAACGCAACATGCAACAATTTCAATTATTTTACTGAGTTACAGTTCATATAAGGAAATCAGTCAATTGAAATAAATTCATTAGGCCCTAATCTATGGATTTCACATGACTGGGCAGGGGAGCAGCCATGGGTGGGCCTGGGAGGGCATAGGCCCACCCAGTTCGGAGCAAGGCCCACCCACTGGGGAGCCAGGCCCAGCCACTCAGAATGAGTTTTTCCCCACAAAAGGGCTTTATTACAGACAGAAATACTCCTCAGTTTCATCAGCTGTCCGGGTGGCTGGTCTCAGACGATCCCGCAGGTGAAGAAGCCAGATGTGGAGGTCCTGGGCTGGCGTGATTACACGTGGTCTGTGGTTGTGAGGCCGGTTGGACATACTGCCAAATTCTCTAAAATGACATTGGAGGCAGCTTATGGTAGAGAAATGATCATTCAATTATTTGGCAACAGCTCTGGTGGACATTCATGTAGTCAGCATGCCAATTGCACACTCCCTCAAAACATCAGACATCTGGCATTGTGTTGTGTGATAAAATTGCACATTTTAGAGTGGCCTTTTATTGTCCCTAGCACAAGGTGCACCTGTGTAATGATCATGCTGTTTATCAGTTTCTTGATATGCCACACCTGTCAGGTGGATGGATTATCTTGGCAAAGGAGAAATGCTCACTAACAGGGATGTAAACAAATGTGTGCACAACATTTGAGAGAAATAAGCTTTACAGCCCTTCACTGACATGGAGGTATGCTATTAAAAGAGTACATGGTGGATGGAGGAATTGACCGACAAATCTATGGATATAGCAGCCTAATGGCAAAATGTACATTTGCGCCAAAAGTAACTGCTATTCATGTGTAATTACATGATTCTGACATGCAAAAACTTTGTATATTTGGAAAGAAGACAGCTGGGAGATTATGAGGAAATGATCAGAAGATAGATAGGCGTTACATAGTTCAGAATACACAAGATCAAGCACACACAAAATAACAATTGTTTTTTAAATTTTATTTTGAAAGTAATCTTTCATTGACAAGCTATAAGTGAATTATTGATGACTAGAGCTGGAAACACATCAGATGGCTTCCACAACATGTGAACAATATCAGAAAAAAAATGGGACTGATAGACCTAACAACTAGAAATGGGCAGATGTTTTAGTAAGTGGTGTCAGGTGTGGTCACGGGACGTTTCCAAGTGTCCCTAAACCTCTCCAAAATGGCATTTGTCTGTAAATTAGATAATCCCAGTGCTATTACATATTTCCAATCCCTAAATGCTATTTGTTCAGTATAAAAACACAATTTCTACCATATCAACCTCACTCAAACATTGTGGTGGTGTTATGGGGTATCTAGGGTACATTCAAGTATCCTTTCAACCTCTCCAAAGTGTCCGAATGTGGTAATTGCACAGTTTTTGCACACAGGATGTGCCTAAATGTTATTGTTCACTATAAAAACTAAATTTCTACAACACCAACCTCTCAACTATTGTGGTGGTGTCGGGGGACATACAGGGGATATGGATGCCTACAGCGTGTAAGCAGGCAATATATTTTTAATGCGCATAGATATAGTCACTTGGTGGCCATTCGATGTTGCCATTAAGTCATACATCAGATAATATTGGCAATATGCTAGATTTGTTCCTAACAACCTAAGGATTCATTTGATACCCCCCATGTAGCTATAGTTCAAACACAGACCAAATTGAAGCTTACCTTGTAAGATGTTTGCTTTTTGGTGAAAACATTGTGTAAAATAAACATTTTGACTCTCGGGGCTGGTGATCAATAACGGTAGGTCACAGGCAAACAAATAAGATATTCTCATGATCTGTGGAGTCCCGGCTTTCGGTGTGTATCAACCTATTCCGTGTTTATTTTGTTTATGCTTCACAACGCTAACCGGAATGTAGGTAGCAGACATCTTGAAATGAGGTCATCCGCTCAGCCTGCCCTTGTAAATTTGAATGCCCATATATGGTAGTAAATCCTAACAAAGATTTGAAGGCACCGATCAATAGCCAATATACTCAGCTTTCAGCAGACACCCTGCTTTTGCAGATAGCGGATACCGTTCTCATACCAGACTGAATTGAATAAAACAAATCAAATAGGGTCCCCAAATATGGGGACTTTACATTTAAGGGTACATGGTGGGTGGAGGAATTGACCGACAAACCTATGGATATAGCAGCCTATAGCCTAATTTCGTCTGTCAAACAGGTAGGCCTACCTTTTACTTCTTAAATATGAAGAAATAGGAAATAGGCTTCCAACACAAAGCCCTCTTGTTTTTAGTAAAGTCTAATTATAATGAACACTGTTGAAATGAATTATGCCTACTCGAATTTGCCTTCTTTCACCACCATGAGCTGTCCATTCCCGATCGATTGTGCCGCGGCTGCAGCTTGAAGTTTCAGAACCACAATGTAAATTACTTGAATCTGGATTATTGTGAGGTCAATAACTCTGATAAATAGGCTACATCATGGGCAAGAAAAATATTGTTTTTAATCAAATCAATTATAGTGGTAGAAAGCTATCAAAGTTGACCGGTCTTCCTTTTCATCTTTGTGCACTCTTTCTCAAACTGAAGAGAACATAGGCTAGTCCAGGGGTGTCAAACTCATTTTAGCTCAGGGGCCACATGGAGGAAAATCTATTCCCAAGTGGGCCGGACCGGAAAAATCATGGTATATATAACTTAAAAACAACAACTTCAGATTGTTTTCTTTGTTTTAATACGATCAACATACAACATAAAGCTGGAGCCTGAGGACAGTGTGTCCAAAAAAGTACAAGCACAACATCACTATTAATCATAAAACACGTCAAGTTTATTTGAAAATTCTAAAGAAAAAGAACACACAAACACACAATGCCTCAGTGATTCACAGAAGTATATCACAGATCACAGAACTATATCAGGGTGTCATTTCTCAGGCAGAAATGTAGATAAAAATAATGAAATCCTGTTCCCCAAACAAGTGCAAGAACCACAGAGTCAAGAATAGGTTAAATATACAAATAAAATAAAAACAATTAAAAACAATAGCACATCAACATAAAAACATATAAACATAAAGCTGGAGCCTGAGGACAGTGTCCAAAAGCACAACATCACTATTAATCATAAAACACCTCAAGTTATTTGAAAGTTCTGAGGACAAAGAACACACAAACACACAATGCCTCAGTGATTCACAGAAGTATATCACAGATCACAGAACTATATCAGGGTGTCATTTCTCAGGCAGAAATGTAGATAAAAATAATGAAATCCTGTTCCCCAAACAAGTGCAAGAACCACAGAGTCAAGAATAGGTTAAATATACAAATAAAATAAAATCAATTAAAAACAATAGCACATCAACATAAAAACATATAAACATAAATCTGAAAGCGTTGCTCAAACTCCCGTAACAGTCCCGTTATTTTATCTTTGAACCGCTTCATGTCTGCCACATGTTGGGTCGCGCACACATTTTTCAGACAGGGGAAGTGAGCTGCATCACCACCGGCAAGTTGCGTCTCCCACAATGACAGCTTCAACTTGAAAGAACGTATGCTGTCATAATACTGCGTGACAACTTTGTTGCGCCCTTGCAGCTGTTTGTTCAAGTTATTCAGGTGCTCTGTAACATCCACCATAAATGCAAGGTCCTGCATCCATTCTGCGGAATGAAATTCTAACACTGGTTTGCCCTTTTCTTCCATGAACTGTTCAATTTCTTCTCGTAAATCAAAGAAACGCCTCAGCACAGCACCTCGGCTTAACCATCTTACCTCAGTGTGGTATGGCAGGCCATAGATGTGGTCTTTCTCTCTGAGAAGGCTGTCAAACTGACGGTGATTCAGGCTTCTGGATCGGATGAAATTAACAGTTTGGATGACCACCTTCATGACGTTATCCATCTTTAATGACTTGCAACACAAAGCCTCCTGGTGCAAAATACAGTGAAAAGTCAAAAAATCACATCCTCCATTTGCAGATTGCACTTTCTCTCTGAACTTTGTCACAACGTCTGCTTTTTTCCCGATCATTGAGGCGCACCATCTGTAGCCAGGCTGACAGCGCGGGACCAGTCCACTCCGACCCTGTCCAGCGCGCCGACGAGTGCGGTAAAAATATCAGCTGCTGTCGTTGTATCTGTCATCGGCACCAACTCCACGAACTCCTCAGTGACGGTCAATGTGTCATCAACTCCGCGGATGAAAATGGCCAGTTGTGCAACATCTGTAATGTCCGTGCTTTCATCAATTGCAACCGAAAACGCAATAAATGACTTTACTTTTTGCTTCAACTGGCTGTCCAAATCCACTGAAAGATCGGAAATCCTGTCTGCAACTGTGTTTCTTGTCAGGCTGATATTTGCAAAAGCCTGCCGCTTTTCAGGGCACACAATCTCCGCTGCCTTCATCATGCATGTTTTTACAAATTCACCCTCACTAAATGGTTTTGAAGCCACTGCGATTTCATTAGCAATGAGGTAGCTAGCTTTCACTGCAGCGTCACTGATGTCTCGGCTGTGAGTAAACACAGACTGCTGTTTCTTCAGACCCGCCAACAGTTCATTCACCTTCTCTCATCTCCGCTGTCCTTGAAAGTTGTCATATTTGTCGGCATGAAGACTCACATAGTGGCGACGAAGGTTATATTCTTTCAGCACTGCAACATGCTCTGAACACACCAAACATACAGCTTTCCCATTCAATTCCGTGAATAAATAGGATGACCATTTTTCTTGGAACACTCTGCACTCTGCGTCCACTTTTCTCTTTTTTGACAGAGACATATTGGGGCAATGAGGGTGCCAAAGCACATAATGTTAAAAGTAGAAGCCGTAATAAATAATGCGGGCAAAACAAAGTAGCTCACGTGCTTGACCTACTTGCTCTGCCCCGGTATAAACAGTTTGCTTGCTTAACACAATTGCTATTGCGCCATCCAGTGGACGCAATTGGAACAGCAGTTTATTTTATTGAAAAATTGCAGCGCATTTTTATACTTTACATATATATATATATATATATATATATATTTTTTTTTTTTTTTTTAATCATCTCGCGGGCCGGATTAAACCCGTTTGCGGGCCTGATCCGGCCCGCGGGCCGGACGTTTGACACCCCTGGGCTAGTCTATGCGCAGGATGTGCATTTTTTGGACTAGGTCTAATAAATTATTTTCGGAAGAAGCCTTTGACTCTCCTCCTGAACTGCCACAGTAGGCCTACACGGCAAAGCCATTGGTTAGGCAGCACACAAAAATACGTTTTTGATTAGCAAGAGCAGAGCAGGCCAGGGGGGCTCAGGGTTGGAATATCAATTGCAGTGTGTAATGCAGCCTAGTTGTATTTACACCATTCCAGCAGCTATATTAGAAATATAACTTTTCTCTGTGCTTCTCCGAGCATGCACTTCGTAGCCTATAGATCATTTGATTGAGACCACACTAAAGAGCCTATAGGCGCACTTGATATTGTGCGCCCATCAGAGAATCAGAGATGAGGGGTGGCATCGGGCACACATCAATATGTAGCCTAATAAGCAACTAACTCTAAAACACTGAAAAATATTGACATTTCATCAATTACAAATTACATTACTCTCCCCTTGACTAGATACAAAAAAATACTAAACCCTCCCCTTGACTGAAATTGAAAAAGCTTGACCCTCCCCCATTTTCCATTCTGTAAATGTCAATTCATCCCTAAATAAAATATTTTATTAGGCCTGCATTGTTACCTTTTATTTAGTATGAAGCATAGTATTTCGTTATGATAATGATATCATGACAAAAGACAGACCATAAAGGTCATACAGTATCATCCAATGTTCCATACATTTACCTGAAGTAGACACCCAATGCAGAGCATTAGGTATGAGTCCTCTTGCTCAGTATAGAGACAAAGTAGTTTACTGATTCACTGTATCTCCTAATAAATCTGGTGCTGGTGGGAATAACTGTATCTATTAAAACTATACACATTGGAAATATACAAGCAAAACCACATGATATTGTATGATCACACTCATTATCCCTCTATACCCTGCTGTGATCCATATGCATAAAACACCCTGTTATGCCATAGTGTGGCAGTATGCTATCCAATTTTTTGTTGTTTTAAATTGATGGCCATCAAGGGATTCAAATGCTCAAATGTAGGACTTGGCATGGACATATCTCCCCTAGGACACGGTCTTTAATGGGTCAGCCAAATTGCCTCATTGTTGTGTGTGTCCTCTGTTGCCTTAGAGACAAGAGGAGTCTTGAGGGATCTTGTGCTCACCTAGGACTCCTGAGTCCCTCCCATTGCCATGGTAGCGGTAGAGCTGCTGCTGTGTCTTGTTACTGTAGGGGAAGAGGAGGCTAGAGATCCAGCGAGGACAGGTGATATGCCTCCTAAGAGCTGACGTTACTGAGAGACCCTGCGCACGACAGAACCATAGGAAGTCCACAAGCATCAGGACAAATACCAAGGACCCATAGAGCAGAACCACAGTCTGGAACAGGGACCTGTAGCTGTATTGAAATCAAAACAGAAAGCTCTCATGAAAAACCAGGGCCAAGCTTTCCAGTGGTCAATGACTATGATGCTTTCATGAAAGTCATGTTTGCAGACAGTGCCCAAAGTTTAGGATAATAACTTGTTTTTATCAGTTTCCCACAAAAAACAAAAAAACATCCATCACAACAATGCAAAAACAACACAGGAAATATCAATATTATCAAAGCTCCAAAGAGTTCTAAGGCTGAAATGAGTCACAAACAACACCATCTGTCTCTAATATATTCCTAACAGCTTGTTAATTAATTATTGAAGTGTAAGCTTTGCTTATATTTCCACAAAAGCAACAAGTATAGGGCGTGAAGTATGTTATATCAACTAAAAAGCCTACCATACACTCACTCACTCTAAGGAAAAACACAACATAAATTCTGGATAGAAAGTTCTGCTCTCCTAGGGTAGCCATACTAGCCTACAGGTTTAGGTGAGTATGGTTACTAACCTGTAAACAGGTTCTTTGGAGTTCCCTCCGGTCTCTGTCTGACTGCTGTTCATGCTGTTGTTGTTCTGTGAACGTGGGCAGCACTGTTTGAGCCCCAGCCCCTCTCCCAGCCAGCAACAGAAGGACAGGTCAGGGGGGTCAGAGAGGCGGGGACAGTGGAACCCTGTGTGGTGACCACCCCAGTGGTCAGAGTAGCCCTCACACAGCATAGCTCCGCACCGTACTTCCCTACTTTATTATGATTTCTGCCAATAAAAAGCAGACTTAATAAATATTACAAATCAATCACATTTTATTTGTCAATTGCTTCGTAAACAACAGGTGTAAACTAACAGTGAAATGCTTACTTACAGGTCCTTTTCCAACAAGGCAGAGTTAAAGATAAAATAAAACTAGAAACAGGGATAAAGTGGAGAGTCTTACCTGATTTAAGTCCACAGTATTCCCCTGCCTTTGGTTTGTGCTTTGTGTGGATCATGTATGATGCAGAGCAGGAAACGTACCTGGCATTCCACAGGGAATGCTCACCTAGGGATCTGCTTGCCACATGGCAAAACCCTGCATGTCCCTTATCATCCCTTCATCCTTTATCTAAGCCTTTCTCCCAATCCATCACTGGTAGATAATTAGCAGAATACAGTCAGGCACATTTTTATATCGTAATACTCTGAAATATAATACATTTTAGTCATTTAGCTAAATATCCAGAGCGACTTACAGTTAGTGAGTGCATACATTCTTTTTTTATTTTTCATACTGGCCCCCCGTGGGAATCAAACCCACAACCCTGGCGTTGCAAACGCCATGCTCTACCAACTGAGCTACATTTCACCAAGTTCATCATAATGTGACTACTTTTTTGAGTGAGCATAAAAATCGCTTTAAGATATAGATGGTTATTTAATCATTGGCTTTTGAGCACATCCCACAAAGTTTTGCAGTTCTCAATCAATCGCACTAGGCTAAAACAAAGATGATGAATAAATGAAAATAAAATGGTCAGTTCCTGTCTGCTTAAGGGGGTGCTCTCCCATAGACGGGAAACACTATTTTCATGCCACTTCGATACCGTAGTTACTTTTTAGTAGCAGGTTAGGAGAACTTACGCAGCAGGTTAGGATAATTAACATAGCTGGTTAGGATAATTAACATAGCTGGTTAGGAGTCTGAGGTTAAGGTTAGGGAAAGGGTTTGTGAAAATCACTTTGTATCGAAGTGGCGTGAAAAGTGTGTCCCCTCATAGAGTAGCAAGGAGGAGGATGAGCTCCGTGGACCCTTCGTGTCCGGATGTAATTTAGCCATTCATTGTAGTCATTGTGAACTGTAGAGTTGCTATTTTCTCATGTCAATGAACTCGTGATGTCTGGAATGGAGCAAATGGAATGGCATCAAACCATGTGTTTGATACCATCGCATAGAGTCCACTTCAGTCATTACCACGAGCACGTCCTCCCCAATTAAGGTGCCACCAACCTCCTGTGGTACATGCTAATATGCGTATGTGAATAACTCAGGTCGGAGAGTTTGGTAAAATGCAAGCATAATCCTTTACTCAGGTATTACCTGTTAGAGATCACAACATCCTAATCAGACACTCATAATACACCTGTTTATCTATCCTAGATAGGTGCCCAACTAGCGCCATCTCTGGGTTGGCATTATGCCCATTATTTACATTTACATTTTAGTCATTTAGCAGACGCTCTTATCCAGAGCGACTTACAGTTAGTGAATACATTTTTTTATTTATTATTATTATTTATTTTTTTATACTGCCCTCCCCCCCCCGTTATCTCAACATCTTCCTTTTCATATAGAATTAGCTCAAGCACTTCATACCATTTTAATACCACAGTGAAAATTATTATTTACATTATCAAACACCTTTTATTTATTTTTTATAAGATAAAAAAATTAAATTGACCATCTCTTAAGGGACATAGTCCCAATACTGCAGGGGGTCTTATGTTAGCCCTTGCCCTAGTGTTTCGCACATTGGGCACCTCTGGGATCCTCAGGGCCTCTCCTGGCACCTCTGGGCCTCTCTTTCCTCTTCCACATTCTCCTGAAAATTGTGGAGGCACGGTCGGCAGAGATAACTGCCCTGGTGGGGTCTTCCCCGTCTCCTCATTATGTGTCCTGCCCACACCATCCAAAATGATATTCACAGTCTTCCCTTGTGGCCCTCCTGTGCCCTATGCTCTCCTGAACTGGGTGCATGTCCCGCCGGTTCCTTCGATACTTTCGGCCCTTTACTTCCACTTCATTTGACCTTGCGCTGATGTGCCCTATGCATGTGCCAAGACTCCATGTGGCATCCCTGGCTTGGGGTGACAGGAGCACTCTGACAGCTTGGCCTCGTTTTATTACAGGCATGGTCATAGTAATGTTGACTTATCCTGACGTGCACGCTTGTGTGCCTGAACATCCCTAATGACTTTTGGTGCGAGGAGCTTGGGAGTTGTTGGCAACAGAGAGCGAGTGCGTCTAGACATTAAGTGTTGTACAGGACTGCTGCCGAAGCACTCTGTGGGAGTATTTATCCACGCCAAAATGGCTTGCTACACATCTGTGCCTTCCTGCATAGCCTGTGATGAGAGTCTTTGCTATTTTCACTGCTGACTCTGCCTTACCATTACTATGACTGTGGTAGGGTGAGGAGGTCACATGATGGAACTCCCAGGCTTTTGAAAAAAAAGCAAAGTCTTGACTCGTGAACTGGGGCCCATTATCCGTATCTACACCACTGTCAGGTATGCCATATCTGCTAAACTGCTGCTTACAACAGTCGATGATGCAAGTGGCTGTTGTGTCGATCACTTTCTCCACCTCCCAAAAATCTGAATAGTAGTCCACTATAATCAGAAAAGGAATGTTCTTGACTGTGAACAGATCCATTCCCACTTTAGACCAAGGATGTACCTGGTATGTCATGCGGCTGCAGCATTTCCTTTTGCTGCTTAGGTAGATTAGCATGACATATGCTGGGTCATGTTGGGCCAGAATATTGAGTCTCTGGCTTTCCTGAGACTGGCTTCGACCCCTGAGTGCCCTGCATGGATACGAGAGAGAATCATTGGGCGTAGAGTTTCTGGCACTACCACCCTGTCGCCTTTGTAGACGACCTCTTCCTGCATTCTGAGTTAGTCTCTGTATGTCCAGTAGTCCCTCACCAGGATGGGCGTACTCTTTCTTGTGTACGGCAGCCTCTTAGGATAAAAGACTGAATCATTTGGGAAGTCTTGTCCTCTGCTGAATGAGGTTTGATAGCATCCCGTGTCTGCAGGGAGATGTTTGATCAGTAGCATGGTTCACATCTTCAAACTTAGCCTGTAGAGCAGGGGTGTCAAACTCATTTTAGCTCAGGGGCCACATGGAGGAAAATCTATTCCCAAGTGGGCCGGACCGGAAAAATCATGGTATATATAACTTAAAAACAACAACTTCAGATTGTTTTCTTTGTTTTAATACGATCAACATACAACATAAAGCTGGAGCCTGAGGACAGTGTGTCCAAAATAGTACAAGCACAACATCACTATTAATCATAAAACACGTCAAGTTTATTTGAAAATTCTAAAGAAAAAGAACACACAAACACACAATGCCTCAGTGATTAACAGAACTGTTTCACAGATCACAGAACTATATCAGGGTGTCATTTCTCAGGCAGAAATGTAGATAAAAATAATGAAATCCTGTTCCCCAAACAAGTGCAAGAACCACAGAGTCAAGAATAGGTTAAATACAGTGGGGAAAAAAAGTCTTTAGTCAGCCACCAATTGTGCAAGTTCTCCCACTTAAAAAGATGAGAGAGGCCTGTAATTTTCATCACGTCACCTATGACAGACAAATTGAGAAAAAAAATCCAGGAAATCACATTGTAGGATTTTTAATGAATTTATTTGCAAATTATGGTGGAAAATAAGTATTTGGTCACCTACAAACAAGCAAGATTTCCGGCTCTCACAGACCTGTAACTTCTTCTTTAAGAGGCTCCTCTGGCCTCCACTCGTTACCTGTGTTAATGGCACCTGTTTGAACTTGTTATCAGTATAAAAGACACCTGTCCACAACCTCAAACAGTCACACTCCAAACTCCACTATGGCCAAGACCAAAGAGCTGTCAAAGGACACCAGAAACACAATTGTAGACCTGCACCAGGCTGGGAAGACTGAATCTGCAATAGGTAAGCAGCTTGGTTTGAAGAAATCAACTGTGGGAGCAATTATTAGGAAATGGAAGACATACAAGACCACTGATAATCTCCCTCGATCTGGGGCTCCACGCAAGATCTCACCCCGTGGGGTCAAAATGATCACAAGAACGGTGAGCAAAAATCCCAGAACCACACGGGGGGACCTAGTGAATGACCTGCAGAGAGCTGGGACCAAAGTAACAAAGTCTACCATCAGTAACACACTACGCCACCAGGGACTCAAATCCTGCAGTGCCAGACGTGTCCCCCTGCTTAAGCCAGTACATGTCCAGGCCTGTCTGAAGTTTGCTAGAGTGCATTTGGATGATCCAGAAGAGGATTGGGAGAATGTCATATGGTCAGATGAAACCAAAATATAACTTTTTGGTAAAATCTCAACTCGTCGTGTTTGGAGGACAAAGAATGCTGAGTTGCATCCAAAGAACACCATACCTACTGTGAAGCATGGGGGTGGAAACATCATGCTTTGGGGCTGTTTTTCTGCAAAGGGACCAGGACGACTGATCCGTGTAAAGGAAAGAATGAATGGGGCCATGTATCGTGAGATTTTGAGTGAAAACCTCCTTCCATCAGCAAGGGCATTGAAGATGAAACGTGGCTGGGTCTTTCAGCATGACAATGATCCCAAACACACCGCCCGGGCAACGAAGGAGTGGCTTCGTAAGAAGCATTTCAAGGTCCTGGAGTGGCCTAGCCAGTCTCCAGATCTCAACCCCATGGAAAATCTTTGGAGGGAGTTGAAAGTCCGTGTTGCCCAGCGACAGCCCCAAAACATCACTGCTCTAGAGGAGATCTGCATGGAGGAATGGGCCAAAATACCAGCAACAGTGTGTGAAAACCTTGTGAAGACTTACAGAAAACGTTTGACCTGTGTCATTGCCAACAAAGGGTATATAACAAAGTATTGAGAAACTTTTGTTATTGACCAAATACTTATTTTCCATCATAATTTGCAAATAAATACATTAAAAATCCTACAATGTGATTTT